ATACACGCAAAAGTTTGACCTTTCTAAAGAGGATAATAGGCATTTAGATTCCGTATTGGATAGGTGTACGTATAAAAATGTGATAGGGCATCTAAATTCTTTTTATGAGTCCAAATACACCAACGGATTTGGAAATCTCTGTAAACAATCGCACAGAATTACACTATTATCAACAGGTATACTGTTTCGCCCATGATATCCCCCATGTATTCCTGAGGAGTTGAAACGGAAACACAACCATGGTGTTTCACGACCACGCATCACCACGCATCAGCGAGCCTGTTAATTTTACGATTTCCTAAACGATGTTAGAAATGGTGCAAATAAAACACCCGAGTTTATATTGACTAAATAGATGTCGAGAATACGAGCCAAAAGTAAACTGAGTCTATAAATAAAATAGTTTTAATGGACCACTGACCACACGGCCTCCAAGATACATATTTTTGTAAATAAGGAATACGTAACATTTTCACTGAAGTAACCATATATGGTTAAACAATTGAACCTAGAAAATGGCGACATCTTACCTAATTACCATAGTTCTTTATATTGTCCTAATAAAATACATTCTTTATTAGAATAATTATTAGGATAAGAGGAGGAAAAAGATTACAATTTTCATACCACTGAACAAATAGAACGTGGGCATTTGAATTCATGATATCAAAACTCGTGGCAAATTAATTTGGTAGGGTAAAAAGCGAATAAGCGCTAGACAGATCTGGGTCGGTAACCACACTAGAGCGCGCTCCTTTCGCGGCTGATGGGCAACGAGCCGTGCTCCTCTCCGATACAGACACGGTCTGATGACCTAACCTTGTATCTATCCCGCATATTTCTAACGTACCGGGATGATATCACCGTGGAAAGAAATATCGTATGCCATGTGAGGCGTGAGGCCAAGGCCGGAATTTCGATCGATCGATGCTAATAACAGCGGAATAGTAAAAAGGAAAGTTAGGTTAATGACCCTATGTGGACGGCTACACTGATGTATTCATTCGTGTTTTTTTTAGCAAATGGAACGTGAGATACTTAGATAAATTATTACAACATTTTAAGCGACTTCCCAAAGGAGATTCTCAGTCTGTTTGTATTCTTTGCGGTTATCTTATACAAAATTAGCGATATTTTACAATGAACACATACGTTCATATTAATTTAGTGACGATTGAAGCCACAATTTTTCTTTGGAGATAAAAAAAGCTGTTTGTTATGAAGCTAAAGCTTTCCATGAACACACGATTACAAGTTCTATATTCAAATATTTTCAATCTAAAAAAGGATTTACGAAACATTTCGTTGATCACCGATATAATTTGTAAGCAGTCTATTTTTCGCTAAGTAGAATGTACCAACTTGTTCGATTTTACCATCACATAGTCACCCGCCACTTGCTAATTCTTAGATTGCTTACTTTAGATATTTAAGTTTTCTATTTGAGAATAAGAAAGTACTTTCAACGGCGGCGCTATTTGCGAAAATTAATAACATGTCACGGGCTTGCTGAAAGAAATCTGCACGACTTTCTAAAACCTTTGTATTAGCCCCGAGGTAGGCAGTTAATGTCCAATAAAGTGCCACTTAGTATTTAGCTTTGGTTGTAATCTTATTTTATGTGGACAATCATTCAGTCAACTTCAAAAATACAGTTTTTAATTTGACTGTACGTTTTTCATATGTAACAGTATTCTAATTTGAAACATATATTACCATTTTTTAAATACTTCCGTATTGCACTCATAATTGTACAGAAACTATGAGTAAATAAGATAACATCAATCTTGACAAATGTTTCATTATTCTGTTTGTACTGATTTCATTTGTAAATCAATAATTTTAATCTATCTTCAGAAGTACTAGTAAACCTCATTCTATAATTGATACAGGTATGTATCATATAATAGAATGAGTTTGAACCACTTCATTATGATAATATTATTACAAGAACCAGTCAAACAAATCGCGTCACCGCATCGATTTACGATTTATAACGGGCACACCTTACGATAAAGTCATCGGTAAACAAGTCATTACCGTTGACATACCGAGCGCATAGCGTTATCATGCTTGTAGACGGCCAGGTGCCTGAGGATAAGCTTCTGCTTACCGATACGGCGACAGATGTGGTAGGCACCACGCCCGCTTCCCCCATTTCGTGTTGGCCTTCCGGGACGCTGAGGAAGCGGCGAAGCGTGCCGTATCCAGACGCAGAGGCGACCATCGCTACCATAGTTAGTTCACAACACTACACAGTATCCACTGGGGCTGGTATCATCACTAGCGCGGGCGTGCTCGGTACGAATAGTGCTATGCGCGCGCGGCGTGCTGCGCGCCTCACGCGTTCAAACTGCCCGAGAAGCGGCGAACAGGCCCCGCGGCCCCCTACCAAGATCCGTACAAACCTAACACAAACTTAGAACTTGAGATAAGCTTGTTAGTTCTGTATTTCCGCGGCGGCTTCGTAGTCCTTTTACGCGGCAATGCCATTACGATTTACCCATGTAGTTAAATAAAAAATATCTGTTAAAAAATAACTGCAAACTGACAATAAACATAAAACACAATTTTATTATTTTTATAACTTAGAAACATCCAAGAATGATTCACATTGTGACATTAATTAATCTTATTTTTGGTCATGAATGTCATGATGGTGTAGTGAATAAATTATTTCCATTTCAAAATAAATAAACTAAAATAAATAAGATATATTTAAACACCTACATCAATACTAACCATAATTCGTATAAATGTAAAAATGTTTCAGGTTTTGTTTCACTATACTAAATTGTTTATTGGAAAAAAGAGGACAAAACACTAACAAAATAATATTTATTACTGGAGCTCAAAAAAATGTAAAAATAACTATTTACAAATCTCCAACAAAATCTATCAAATAAGAATCAAAGGATCTCTTTATATCTACTTTTAATAACATCTGCCCTGGTAACCATATACAAAAACAAAAGAGCACTTAATTATGGGACAATACAATAAACTTGGTGTTAACTAGACAATAAAATAAACAAGTAACTAGACTTGTTTATTTTATAAATCATTATTGATAATTTATTAACCATTTATTCCAAAGAAAAAAGAACCTCAACTTGAGAGATCCCTCACATGATCTACATCTAGATGACAGGACTATTACTTATCATTATTAAGTGTTTAGGGTTATTTTCCAGAGACGGCCTGGCTCTTAAAAAGAGGTGATATACCTATATTTGTCACTACAAGACCCCCATAGACCACCGTCTAAAGGAATAGTTTGATAATAATGATTAGACATGATGACGATGAAGACTCATGCCGGCTTACAAAATGTTTTTATAGTGAAATATTTATTGGGAAACACCATAGTTTATTTCAACTGAAAATAATAATAATAACTTATATTAAAAAATAAATTAATAATAAAGTAGCACACTTTACACAATTAAATAATACTGAAAATTACAATTTAATTTAAAACAATTTTGATTACTTTTTTTTATATCAAATCTTATTAAGTAACAAACACCAAAGTCAATATTGTACTTTACTCATTTCATCAATAGCCTTCTATACAAGTCACACTCAACCAGCTAAATAGCCTCCAAGAAGCCTAATGACTTTATAAAACCCCTAGAAATGTTTCACTATAATGACACACAGCAAAAGAACTAAGAATATCAAATTTATTTGTCTCATAAGGCAAGACTGCATTTTGGTAGGAATTATTAGTAACAAGATTCAACATAAAAAATCTACTTCAATTATGACAAACCAGTTATTTTAATTTAAACTGAATCAATTTTGATAAAATTCCTATGGATCAATCCATCCTTTCAGATAAAAAAGACTTTTCAGGGTCGGTTTACAGTTGACAGAGTTATAAGGTAGCAAATATTTAAAAAAATCATACAGCCAAATTAAGAATCTTCTTCTTTTTAAATCAGTTGAAAACAGAAATAACTTCATTAAATTATAGTGGAATCAATATAATAATGTGTAAAATAAACAATGAGTATTTTTGTGTTATTTTCTTTAAAGGATAAACATAAAATCAGATTTTTCTCGCTTTGGAGCTCTATAAAAGTAAATATTTCATAAGGCATTCATTGCTGAAAAAGTTTAACATCATCTGACCTATAATAGATAAATAGGTTTCAAACAAACTTACACTATCTATATCCTATAATACTATTAATGAAACAGTATTTTTATTTAAAAATTAATTTTATAAATAAAATAATGGAAATTGATTCTTTTGATATCTTAATTACAAGATATAAAAGGAATTTAATAAACCTACATGGATATGCTCTTTAATCTTTTAATTATGTAAATAAAATAATATGACACTAGAGATCAGAGATATTGGATTATCACTTTTTCTTTTGATAATATTATATTAAATATAGGAGACAAAAATTACAGTTACAATTTACCCTTTGTGTTATGACTTGATATAGACAAATTTACATTAAAATAATTAGGTTCAAATTTATTTTTGAGTCTAATAATTAAACAAACCAAAGTGGTTGATTAATGTTTAATGGTAAACTTGTTGAATATGAAAGAGAAAAAAAAATAATTAGACAATCAAATACTCATTATAAATAGGCATAGACAAAAGAGACCACCACAATCAAATCTGATATGACATATAAGGACCATAACAATGTTCTAATACAAATAATTTATTCAACAACAGTGTGGGCTGAGGCCAACATCGCCCACTGCCTACCTTGGCTTGTTTAATATCTTTCAAATGACTGTTTCATGTTATCTATATAATAATTCTGAACCACAAATGTCATTTAGGCAATAACTAAAACTGATAATTTGCAAAATAACAATTATAATTTCTGCATTAAAAAGTAAACAAATGGTAAAGGAGATAACATGAAAATTAAAGGTACAAGGCGTATCAATAGAAAAAATGCCAATTTCACATTTGTTTGAATTGCCTTGGTGCTCAACAACCGGCAATTAAGTGTTGAACTCACCTGTTTAGTCTCTGCAAAGTCCGCGGCCTCCATATTGGCATGTGATCGCTCCTGCCTCTCCATAACTTCGAAAACATCAGAATCGTCTGAAGCGAGGTGTTGTAAATGTGTACAATACAAGCTTAAACATAACAACCGCGATGGACTCCACAATTTCCAACGAAACAATGTCAGTCAGTGGTCCCACCAACCCGTTTAACACCAAGTCCGTTACGCCCAAGAAAATGTAATGAAATAAACGAGTTCACAGTAATAGACACATTCTGTATATTTTGATAAAGAAATAAAGTAATAAACTTGATTTACTTAGCTAAGATTCGAAAAACACAGTTTATCACCATCTTAAAAATTTCACACATTCCGTCATCGAGGCCGACTGACGGTCGCTGCCCTAAGTAACGTTCCTACATACGCAGTGGTCATTAATGGCATTAATATAGAAATTAGTCTTTTTTCTTTGTATATAAATAGCACGCAAATTTTATGAAATTTTAATATATTTTGAACAGTAATAAAATTTTTTAAGAATATAATCAAAGACTTTTACATAAATATCCTAAATGTATGTATCTAATCTAATCTAGTGATAACATAAAATTAAACATAATGACACTTATTTTAGTTCTTCGACTTTAAAACTTAATATCTTTGCTTGGAAGAGATTGGGAGTTGTTAGCTTCCATTGCTAGAAATATACTCTGTCAGGTGAATTTCTACATGATCCTCTCTCTAGAATCCTTCGTAGTTAATTCTTATTGAATTCCTACTATTAGGCTAAGTGATCTGCCTTCGTCCTAGTAGTTTTATTCTCCATTGATGCTCTCTATGGTATGCCGTTAGCATATGCGGGTGCACTATTCTATCTTTATCCGTATTTTTTTTATACAACTATAATGGCATACAAGCATACGACCCGTCTAATGGCAAATCGAGTTCCCGTATCCTATGGACGCCTGTAATATCAAGGATGCCACGCGCGCATTGCCGACCCTTAAGAGACTTTTTGAAGAACTTCTTCATCTTTGCTTTTATTTTTGCTTACTACTTTTGTCACTATAACATATAAGTACGAGGTCTGTCCGGAAAGTTCGTATAAAAGTGTTCTGGAATGCGAGAAAGAGGAGTGGGGAGGCCAGGTAAGCGCAGGACCCCTTCCTTATGTCCCTAACAATGCTTCAGTTCTGGTCTGACCGCCGTGCGGTGCGAACTGGCTTGTCACGCCATCTGTGAAGTTACCTCTTAACGAAACCCCGTCGGCATGGAGCCCGCTTCCGTTGAAGAGCAGCGCGTCGTAATCAAGTTTCTCTCGAAACTCGGCAAGAATGGCCGTGAAATTTTTGCCGATCTCAGAACAGTTTATGGGGATGATGCTGTGAAGGAACCAACCATCCACAAGTGGCTAAAAAGATTCAGAGAGGGCCGAGAAAGCGTTCAAGATGACCCACGTTCAGGACGTCCTTCCACTTCACATTCCGACGAAAACGTGGAAAGAATTCGAACTTGTGTTAATGGGGACCGTCGTTTAACGGTCAGACAGGTGGCTGAAGAGCTTAATTTGGGCAAAACCGTGGTCCACGAAATTCTAAGAAACGAACTTCAAATGAAAAAAATTTGCGCCAAGATCGTTCCGTGAGTTTTTGAGTAAAAATTCCATTACGGTGACCGAACACCCCCCTATTCGCCGGATTTGGCCCCGTGTGACTTCTTCTTGTTCCCAAAAACCAAATTGGTACTTCGGGGGCGGCATTTGGGGGACATAAATGAGATAAAAAAAGCTACGACGGGGCAGCTGAGAAACCTACAACCAGAGGACTTTCAAGGAGCCTTCTCACAGTGGAAACGGCGTTGGCACAAGTGCATTATGTCACAGGGGGAGTACTTTGAAGGGGATAAAATTGATTTACCTGAATAATTGTAAAATAAAATTTTTAAAAAACATTTATACGTACTTTCCGGACAAACCTCGTATACTTCGATATACCTAAGAACAATGAAGTATACAGTTTTATTTTAGAGCTTAGTTCATTTCTGTTAAAAATGTATCTTAATAGAATGTACAATAATTAAAATCGTTATTTATTAGCTTTTAATTGTCATCTATCTCACTGTATACTATCACAATGAATAAACTCGTGGACTTAAAACAGCAGTGACGAACATTTAATGCCAGTAGGCTATTCAAACCTCACTCTTACTAACCTTTACAATTCAATACCCTAATTTTCAATCATATCAATTATATTTTTTTAGAATAACATTGAAACTTCATGTGAATTTTACAAAAATTACACCCTTGCTGCCCCTAAAATCTTTTACTTTAGGCACCACCGTGTTCAGCCTGCTAATAAACCCATTACTATAAAGCACAATACGCGTATAACTATTTCTCTTGCTGTATATCTTATTTTCATCATCATCATCATATCAGCGTTTAACTGTCCACTGCTGAACTTAAACCTCCCTTTTCCCTTTTTCTTTCTTTTCTTCCTCCAAACCGGATTGGCAACCGCAGTTAGGTTTTAGAGATATTTTAGGAGGAATATATATTTGTTGTGTTGTATATCTAAAAGCCTGATGTGAAACATTTATGATTTCATGATTGTGTTTCAATTTGAAATATGAGATGTGGCACAAAAATTACAGGGTAGAGAGGTATAACATTGTTGTTCTCAGTAATTCAGCCCATGAGGAGTATTGTGGGTATCATAATGTATTCTGTAATGATCATGATTCATGTGTATAGGCGATGGTGACTACCATAGGTTAAGGATAGTACTTGAGATTTGATTTTTTTAATGGGTGTTAATGGAATGGTAACCCCACTACTTGTGACCACCATCACCACTTTCCATCAAATACCACTATAGCACATACACACGTTTTGTCTTCTTAAGTACTATAAAAAGTAAATAAAATTGTTTGAACGAAGAGTACTATCCTTAAACTATGCCTACGGTAGATGAAAATATATTGACCGAAAATATTTTTCCAGAGATGTGAAATATGTAAAACATAACTGAACTCGTCTATGAATGAATGAATGAAATCAACAAACGAATGAATGAATATGATCGAGTGTTGACATTGATCGATCTATCTATCCATAGTCTGTGATCTATTTTATTAATGATGATTGATTAAATTTTTTTTCTAATATTGCAGAAAATAACTGTTAATAAAATATATATTTGAATAATAGGTAGTCATTTGTAATTAAATATCATTAAGCTTAATCTTTACATTATGTAATATATAAGTTCCATAGATTCAAAGCGATGTGTTAAATTGTAAATAAGTTCAGACCAGAATTTATTGAGTGAAACAAGCAAAAAAGTTTTAATGAAAAACAAAAATGCCCCGTGAAAGAAGTCGTTATCGCGATCGGCGCAGTTCATCATGCAGTTCAGATTCATCCCACGAACGGAAGAAATCAAAAAGTAAATACAAGAGACGATCTCGATCCCGAGACCGGTCAGAGTCTAGTAACAATAGGCGGAAACGTTCGAGTTCTAGATCTAAACGTAAAAGAAGAAGTTATTCTAGGAGTTTGTCAAGGGACAGGTATGATTCGAAGTTGAGGAAAAGATCTACTTCACGTTCAAGAACGAAACGCTCAAGACGGTCGACGTCCAGAGATCGTTCACGATCAAAATCCAGTACTAGAAGTAGATCTAAATACAACAAAAGTAAAAAGTCAAAAAGGTCGCGGTCCTCCAGCAGTCGCTCTAGCTCTTTCGATATTGGTAAATAATTTTTAGTTACTAATATGTATGTTCGGCAGTGGACAGGTTGATGTGAGGATGAATCACAACAAATATATCTAACCTCTCCATATTATCAATCACCTTAAATAAAATAACTGCTATTTTTGCACTAATTTTATTTATTTTCATTTAAAACAGAATAAGAATAAACTTTATTCAAATATAAACTTTTTTACAAGCTCTTTTAAATGTTATTTTTTTTACAACTCTTCTATGCAGTTTGAAAATGTTATTTGCTAAGAAAAACTGAAATAAATTTAATAGTTATCCTTTTCTACTTCATATAATAATTTCTAATAAAACAACTTTTATACACTAATTATTCACCTACAATAAGCCTCTCTTATTGCCATCTATTGTATTTAGTCCTCTTTGTATGTCATCTTTCACATTCTTTTCATACAGATTATAGTGTTGAATGAAAGTTATGAATATAAAAAATTAACTCAATTTATTTTAATGTTCAATGTGTAATAATAGTTATGGCTGCAGTAAATACTAGTTATATACTATTTATGTATTTTACTTATAATTAAATAAGCTATTATGGTGATAAGTAAGATAATATGCCTAAAAATATGTTTTAATTTAGTTTAGTATTTGTGGTTACAAATATTGACATTTCTAGGTATATTTTAAAAAGCAATAGTACTTGATCTTGCAGATACATATGCATTGTCAATTAATAATATCAATAAAAATGTATTATTAATTAAAAAAACTTTATAAATATGACACTCTGAATAATATATTTGTACTAATATGTGCAGGAAATAAATATAGAGAATCCATTATTATTATTAACAATGTAGTACACAAAATTTCCATTATAAAATTATTGTTATTTTACAGAGAGTATCTCACAGTCAAGAAAAGTAAATCATGATGACACGGATGTTAAAATTGAAAAAGCAATCAAGGCAGCCGAGGCTGCTGGCCTCACTATGACTAAGATACCAACATATGAATACAAAGAGGTTGCAGTTAAAGAGGATATGCCAACAATTCAAGATAGAAATTTGTTGGCAGAACTCAATAGTGATTCTTTTGTTCAAAAGTCCTTTACTTCATCAAGGAATAAAAAACATTCTCAGAATATTGTTATTGATTTAAATTCACAGACTGTAACTGTACCTGAATCAGATGTCAAAGTACAAAAAGATGATTCTATCATAAATTTTGATGTAAGTAATAAAAAATTGTCTAACCAAACACAATACTCCACATTTTTATACCTACAAATAAACAGACATGACTTAACCATAGACATCCATACCATAGATTAATTTTAGAAAGAGATCTACTAAGTGCAACATTGTTTTGACACAAAACTTTTCCATCTGTATATACTTCACACCTGGAATTTATTTATATTCTCCATTAAAGTGCAATTTTAGACTTTCCCTATCCCTGGTATGATGTGTTGAAAGGTTCTTACCTTCCTTACCCAAGAGATTAGTGAGTTTTGCAGATCCACATACATAATGAACACCTGACTTTTCATTTTGAGGTCATTAACCCACAAATGGTGTTAGATAATTATGTACTTATCTACTTTATACTTATCATGTTAACATGCCTCTGTCATACTTTTGATTGATACCTGCAAATTACTGGACAATTTACATGTCTATCATTTAATTGTGGAAGTTCTAATATTTTACGTGTATAACTTTGAATGGCAAACAAGCTCTACATAAGCTTGTTTGCCATTCAAATAGTAATTACTAAAGATATTAACAGTACTATGGATTTCACACTGTGACATCCATAGTATCTTTAATTACCACTAATGATGACTAAGGTATTATGCCTCTGTATCCTGCAACTTCACTATTATATCCCACCCTTCAGTTGTGTGCTCTCTATGTAGAATAGGCTACTTTTTTCTTTTTCCTGGGTGTCGTAAGAGCCGACTGAAGGAATTTAATGGTTGAGGGAAGGGTAGCAGCGTCCCTCTTAAACTAATTCACTAAATCCTTAGGCTTTAACAGTTAGCTGTTCTCAACCCATTTGCCAATTGTAACAACTATTGGTAGAAACCCCTAATAAGGAGCCTATGTTCGGCAATGAACAGTTAACTGCTAATGATTAACCACCCTTCAAATCAAAAACAGCCATGCAAACATAACTGCTAGACAAATACAAGTAGGATAACTTCTGTACAAAGTATACATCTATAACAACAAAATACTAATTTACTTACAATATAATTTAGAGTAGTAAATACTAGTGAAAAAAATTCACTTTTATCCTCCAGGATGGAAAATTGGTAGACAAGTGGATTTGTCTGTTATTTTTATATATTTCTAAAACATCATGACCTTACCCTTTATCATAATTTAGTCTTAACTCGGTATATGTAATAATATTCAGTTAATTTTTATATACTTTAATACTGTTTCAGGAGATGCCAAGTGAGGAAGAACTAAAAGAAATGTGGATAAAGAAACTTTATCTGTACAGGAAAAAAATGCTAAGGGGTGATATATGAAATAAATTTAGTTCATACATTTTTCAATACTTTTATTGCAATTAACAGTTTGAAAGGGATTTTTTTAATAGGTGAAAATGGAATGGTAACCCTGCCTGCACTATCGGTATACACCAACGGGGCACCAGTGCAAGATGATAGTTAAGAATGAATGCAAATCAGTTGGCCCACCATGATGAATTCAATAAGAATCAATCATGATTTCTAGAGGGAACTGCGTGGAGATCAACCTGAGAGGGTATATTGCTAGCAATGGGGCTATTAGACCTCATTAGTAACAATCCCTTTCCCCTCTGAAAGGGAATTTGATAGTTTGTCCAATAAAAGGAATAGATAAGAGCCATATGAAAGTATTGAGCAAGTAGATATCAATTTTTTAGATCGTCAAATAAAAAATGTCTAACCATTGAGTTACTTTATTATTCATCATCATCATATGAGCTGTTATCTGTTTACTGCTGAACATAGGCTTTTCCATAGACTGCCGTAAAAAACTCCTGAGCCACCTACATCGACTGACTTCCTGCAAGTTATTATTATCCTATACTAATGAAAGAAAGACTTAATATACTTCCCTTTATACACTTACATAAGAGTTTGGAGTTTTTCAATTTGAAATTATGTGAGTGACCATAAATTTTTATGGCATAACAAAAACGGTAACAACCTAAAATAATTTTATTGAACACATGAACATAACAACATACAGCCGCAACTCACAATTTGATACATGCTCTGGATCTACAAAGTTCTATATGTACAGTACTGCAATGACTCGAGATACTTTTCATGTAACTAAGGCTGTCCTCACATATTATTTCTTTCACGTTGGATACGACTACTATATGTTCGTGACACCAAATTCCATGCGTCCATATATCTGTCCATGCACATCGCAATACATTTCTGTTCAGAATTATCTAATGCTGTACCAGGCTTATTGATACACTTCTTGAAACATTTCTCTGACATTTTTGTGAGAAGTTCTTGCGCGTTCGCAATGGCAATTTGTTGTTTCACTTGATCCATCAACTCTTCTTTCTGCGCTCCACTCAAAGAACCCGTGGATAATGTGTCCATTTTAACAGTATATTTTACTTTAAGCGGATAACAAAATGATAAAACTTTCCGATGTAACAGAATAACCTCAAAAGTAACCTAAAACAGTCATACAAATGACAAAATAGTAATGACTTACTCTGTGGAAAAGAGCCCAACAATTGTGATTGGTTCAAAGTTTATTTGTTATAAATTTTGTCGTTTCTTCCAGCGGCAAAGGACCGACATGCTATACAGACATACTTTTCTGTATTTAGTAAAGTTATATATATCATATATATTTCATAACACGTAATTCTTATTCGAAACAAATATTTATTTGTATTGAAAATTCTCATTACACTAAATGATATAAACAACATTTGTTTGTTTCATTATTATTATATGAATTGATAATGATTATAATCGTAATAATTGATTAAAATTTCGTCTAGTATAAACAGTTTTATTTTCAAGTAATTATCATTAATATCACTACATAATCGTTAAATTTATCAAAGTCAACGATTATCAATATGGACGCATGGACAAGAAATATTAATCGGACTGGATGTCATTTTGACAGATATAGCTATCATAATAATATAATTTGACAATAACTGTCTCCTTAATTTTCAATTACAATAAAATTGTTTATTGGTTTCAAATATTGTTTCTGTGATTTGTTTTACACTTTAAATCAAAGTTTTGGTATACATATTCCATCAAGCATTATTTAGTGTATGTCTAATTGATTTCTTGGTCTTATTAATAAAAATGGATGAAGTTGAAGAGTTAGCTAGTCATTTGAGTCATGACGACCTAATCGAAATAACAAAGTCTTCGCTTTGTACATTAATAAATTCAGATTCGTTACTTTCCGATCTGCCACCCGATATCATTCTTGAAGAAGTGTATGCACAGGCATGTATATCTTTTATAATCCTGACTAATATCATAGATAATATACATATATACAACACTGTCATGCCTGTCTCCCATCATGAATTTGATGTAGTTTTTAAAGGTCTAACACTGTATATGTTTGTTACCTCTTGGGATCTGGCCAGCTCAAGCAGTTGTCTGATTAGTACTTTCTGAACTAGAATCATAAGTTTACTTACATGAAAGTTGTTTTTATTTATCAAATTTAGTATGTATATTTTTTTTGTTAGAATTAAAATCATTGATCAAAACAAACAAATCATTGATCTGAACACAAGATACGTCTGTTTATGTCCAATAAAGGTATAAAGAAGAAATTTATTGTTATTAATATAATTTAGAAAGTTTCTGTGATAATTTCAGTAACTCTTACCTTTTCAACTGGCTTAAAAAATGGTGGTCCTCAATTTGGTTGTATTTATGGTACCTCATAACCCTGTCACTCATAAACTGTTTTGGGAAATTCTTTTTTTGTCTGAAAAGATATACTTTCAGCAATACCATTAGCAATTTTATCAAAATTAGTTATGTAGTTGAGTTTTCAAATAGATATAACTTGTTTTACCACAATTGAAGTCAATTAATTTTGTGGAACAAAATTATAAATTGAAATAGATTGTATACAAAAATTAAGCTACTTTTCATCAATGTTATTAGACTTATTCTTGTTACACCTGGTGTGCCTCTCTTAGAACACATTTCTAAGCTGTATTTTTAAATATTTTTTGTGCTTGCAGATAGCTGTTGAAGTTGGACAATCAATAACAATTTTTATATCAAGAGATGATGAACCAGTTTTAAAAGTTATAGTAAGTTCATAAATTTCTAGATTTCGGTTTTAAAAGTGTTTATAATTATTAATATTTTAGTTAATTCTTACTTTATATTTCATATAAGTATAGAACTACCTTTATCTTTGCTACTGACTATACATTAGATAAATTCTTTGTGCTTCTGGAAACCAGTAATTTTGACTTAATTGTCAACAGGTTCCACAAAATACAACAGTGAGTGATCTAAAGAAAGCAATTGCTCGTCATTTTGAAATATATCAGAAGAGGATAGGAAACAAAGTGAAAATATCATGGAAGTACATTTGGAAGACATATGACCTTAGCTTTGATGGGTTAATCTTAGATAACGATTGTAGTTCTATAGAGAACTATGGTGTGACCAATAAAGTAACATTAGCATTTAAGAAAAGGAGAAAGAAACAAAAATAAATTAATTGAAACATTTATTCATTTGTTTTACATAAATTCTACTTAATTTACTTTTGTATAAGACCAATATTACATATATTTTTTTCAATATACTACCATAATTAACAGTAATAGTATGTAGTTTGCTAAATAGGAAATAAAATAAAAATTCTTTGTCTCATCTAAAAGGGCATATCTGTTAGAGATAAGAATGATACCAAATAAGGTTACACTAATAAAGTTAACCTTTGTAACATTGCAATTTTAATATGCTTTATGAGAAATCTATAAGCATATTTCATTGCTTGTCTTTTAAATAATTGGTTGCTGTATCATAAATATTCATTTTAGATGTTATGTCACCTATGCCGTCATGATTAGGGGGAAATTGGATTATTAGAAATGGGGTTTAACTACCCCTCTGTTAGCAATACACCCTATCACATCAACCTTCATGTGATGACCACATGATTTCAGCATTAACTGACCTGCTTTCATTGTCACCTATTATCCCTCACTAGTGCCCCATCAGCATACATTGATAGCGCAAGCCATAAATATTTCATTATCACCTATTAAAAAACAACTCCATGGTCTCATTATACTCATTGCAAGAAAAAACATTGTAAATGACTATTTTCATTAAAATAAACAGAACTAGGCTTCTTAAAGAGCACAGAGGTATGCAAAAATACTTTTTGTAAAGGACGACTTGACTCCTATGAATAGAGTGCAATATAATCTACAGTTGCTCAAAGTCGGGTTGTGGCGGCGGCTCCTGCGGCAGCGGCTCGAAGTCTCCGAGGGTGTAGTGTGGATCCTCGTGGCGCGGCGTAGCCAGCGGACGATCATAAGCGTCCTTTAGTAGCTCTTGATCGTGCTGCGGAAAGGCGTTGTTTAAAAAAAAATAAGAATCTGCAAAGGTCTCGAGTTAGAGATGTTTGATTTTGAGCCCATTTTTTGTACAGTATTTCGTAAGACTGGGAAATATTCGTATACGAGGACTAACGAAAAAATGCAATAAAATTAATTTGATAAGTAGTTTATTGGCACAAAAATGTTTTTATTTATATTTTTGTTACGTCATGTAAAAATATGAATAACACCATTACACCAATGACATTACTGTATATGTAAAATAATTACCATTTTAAATACAACAAATATAACGTATCATATAAAATTTATTAAAATTAAACAATTCAACAAATTTTATATGATATGAATATAAATTTTGGAACAAAAATAAAATCATGAAAATTTCACGTGTTTGATAGTTACCCTATCTTTAAATATAATTTTTACAGCCAATGTAAATCAAAATATCGAGACAAATGTTAGTTTGCTATATTTCAAATATTAAATTTATAATTATTGAGCCAGAAAATAAAGTAAAATTAAAAATATGTGGATTAAATTTAAATATAATTGGAATCAATCTTATTCACATATGGTGTATGAATACAAGGCAGGGTCCAGGCACATTCTTAAAACATCTTTGGTAAATAGATACGACTACAGCCTAATTTAACACAGAATACATAATGTAGGATACATTATGTAATCCAGGCAGGCAAAGTCATGATTTATGGCGACCACATAACATTACAATAAGTTACCTGATCAGTTTGTAGTACGGAAGGTGGCGCCAAATCATCCAGTGACAGTTGCGTGTTGAGCACGGACGGGGGCGCGTAGTCGGCAATAGCGGGCAGAGTTTCAACCGGCTGGAAAACAATTGAAGATTTTGTTTTAACATGTTTAAACATTTTGAACCAGATTGAAATCTCGTCTGTTTTCTAGCTGAAGGAAAAGAAAAATATGACGTCTGACTGTCGTTTAATGGTGAATTTACTTAGGTCATATTACCCATTGTGAGAAAGCAAACTAGACAGAGTAATTGTCAACAATGAGGATTAACTATTACTAACTATTCCTCCTAGAAATGGGAGTTCACATACTGACCGTATCTGTGGGTAGTTGTTCTTCTGGCGCGGCGGAGGTTGCAGGGGGCGCTGCAGGCGGAGAAGGCGGGTCTGCAGCGGCGCCGCGTGTATTGCTTCGCGCGTCCTCTTGCGAGCCGTAAGCGGTCTTGTGTCCGCACGATAGCAAGTGTGTTAGCATATCCGTGCCTGTTACCAACAATTACATGTTAGATTTGGTTTCTTTTTTGACAGTTCGTGAAAATTAACTTGAAATTAATTGTAGAGATGGTGTGTTTTTAAAATCTATACGACATTATGGAATTTTATTTGAACCCTGTTATTTGAACATAACATATACCTGTCACGATACTGTTTAAGATATAATAAAAGAGCTAATTACATGTAATTATAAGAGAAGTATTAGTTTACTCGATGATGTAGTTGACAATATCGTGAACATGCACGAAAAAATCCATACATTTTTATATTGTGACGGTTTTGTAAGAAAAAAAAAAAAGTACTATTACTGTACGGATTAACAGATTAGTAGTTTTTTATGGATGATAATGGAATGGTAACCCAACCTGCAAAATTGGTATACGCTGACGGGGTACAAGTGAACGATGATAAAAGAGAATGGTGTCAGGTCAGTTTGCCCACCGTGACAAATTCCACGGGAATTAACCAAGATGGTTTTCAGAGGGAACTGGATTTTTTTTATACAACTTAGAATGGCAAACGTCGCCTATAGTTGAGCAGTACCATGGACATAACAGAGTATAGTTTCGCCCATGATAATCCTCTCCGCTCTGCGTTGCCATTCTTGAGGAAAATCAGGAATGTAATTCCTCTGTACCTGCGTAATTTCACGCCATATCGGAGCACCAGTTCAAACCGAAACACAGCCATGCAAATACAACTGCTTCACGGTTGAAACACGAATGGGACAGAGGTATCCAAGCAATCGACTTTTGTACAAAGTCTCCCTCTGGATGTCGACCTGATAGGGTAAATCGCTAATCAACGTCACTGATAATCCTCTCCGCTCTGGCTTAGTAGTGTAGTGGTAGTAGCGAGCGGCGAGCGGTGAGCGGCGTGCGTACGTACCGACGTCGGTGTGGTAGCCGCAGACGCAGTGCGCGCGGTAGGCGCGGCGCGGCGCGTCCTCGAGCGAGTGCGGGCCGGCGCAGTAGCCGCTGTGGCGCAGCATGGCGCGGTAGCACGAGCTCGCGTACGGACACTTGGTGCACTGCGACGAGCCCCTAAACCCATACGTATGTTTCATTACTAGCTGTTTTTTACCCGCAACTTTGTTCGCGTGGTCCGGATAAAAATATCCTATATCTGTCTCCATTCCATACACACTGAACGCTCTATAAGTAACATTCTTTATATTTTATTTATCGTATTCAGCTTGGTTAGTAAAAGAGATAATTGAAAATATTTTTCTCAAACATGCTTGGAAATGTGAGCATTATTTTGACAATCTTCTTCGAGATAAATTTTCTTACTGTACTGGGTTGACTGGAAGAGATCTCTGTCAGAGATAAGTCCACCCTTGCTCACAATATTTATAAATACATTATTTTATATGTAACTTACAAGTGCAATAAAGAATATATATAGTCTTACAATTCTAAAATTTATAATTAAGATATTAATTTTATTATGATGAGTTCGAAAGTGGGAGAAATATAAGAGTCCACAATTACTCTAAAGTAAACCCATTGATTGTAATAAAATTGTGAATTTCAATTTAGAAATTAACAATGTAATCGTGTAGCATAATTGTAAAAAATCGAATAATTCAAGAATCTCCTTTCGGAAGCCATTTAAAAATTGGATATCTGTTTGGAGTTTTAATACTGGCTGATGTTTTTAAAACTTGCATTATTTTTAATTTTTTTTTATTTATACTATTGAGGTGGCAAGCATACAGCCCACCTGATGGTAAGCAGTTACCGTAGCCTATGAACGCCTGCCATACCAGGCATTACGCGCGCGTTGCCGACCCTGAAGAAACCTTTTTACCCTCCATTTGAAGAACCCCATGCTGTAGTCTCTTAGAAAAACCTCGACTTGGAGCCCTATCCATAATATTCAATTTAAATTTATCTGTTATAGTTTCTTATATAATGTTTTGTGTTTTTTCTCTAAATTTGTCAATATATTAATTACATATACATGGTATGTTTGACTACTATATTCTGCTTACATTAATTTTATACTTACAAGAAATGTTTGTCACTATCCAACGCAGTGTCACACTCGCGGCAAATCATCCCCTCCGGTAGCACTAAGGTCATCTCTTCGTAGGTTTCACTTATGGTGTGGCTGGTGGAATCCTTCACGGGTGGACGAGCCTTGTTCTGATAACGAAGAGATAGAATAAAATATTTTGTTATAGGACAAACAATTGTAATCCTTAGTAATATTATAAATGAAAAATGTGAAATTTAATTTGTTACAAATGTTATGAAATTTTGTATCATTATATCAGCCTTTAACTGTCCACTGTTGAACATAAGCCTCCCCCTGAGGGGTTTTGCCAGTAGTTGGCAGGCGAATTTAGCAACCGCAGTCAGGCTTTAGAGATGTTTTAAGAGTGATGCTGCTGCCCATCCCTCGCCCTCTCTTAGTTGCCTTTTACCACACCTATGAGAAAGTAAATGGTGGCCCATTTTATGCCGGGACCACATGGTAAATTGTTAATAAATAAAAGTACTTACCTTGGGTTTATTTATTAAATGTTCTCCAGAACATAATGGTGCAGCGTGCTCTACGGTGTTGTGGTCACGGACTTGGTGTTCTTTCAGTTGGCCTAAAATAGAAAAAAAAATTGTAGGGACGCAAATACAACAGCATTTATTAAATAAACAAAAACTTAGATTGTATGTTTAGTTAATTTATCAAATATATTATTTATGCATCATTTATACAAGTATGTATCTGTTATGATGAGTAATAGTGGTAGAATAATAATATAAAGTATCCTGTGACATTAAAATGTCAAGTTCCATCCAATCCTCATAATTATTACCAGAGGGAGACTTTGTACAAAAGTCGATTGCTTGGGTACCTCTGTCCAATTCGTGTTTTAACCGTGAAGCAGTTGTGTTTACATGGCTGTGTTTCGGTTTGAATGGTGGGATATGGCGTGAATTTATTGGGTACAGAGGAATAACACCTGAGTCCTCAGGAATGGCAACGCATGGGGGGTATCATGGGCGAGACAGTATACTCTGTTATGTCCATGGTGCTGCTTATGTCTAATATGATAATTAACGCTCCTTTCCAATTTGGGTTTGCTGGAAGAGAACTCTTAGAATTAAGCTCGTCTTTGCACATATATTTACCTCTATCATTTTTTTATTATTAACTCTCCGTTAACTCTCCACTGCCGGATATAAGCCTTCCCCATAAGGGGAATTTTGCTAGTAGTTGTCACGTTTGGCAGTCGGGTTGGTAACCGCAGTTAGGCTTTTAGAGATGTTTTAACGCTGCTGCCCATCCCTTGACCTCCCTTAGTCGCTTCTTACGACACCCACGGTAAAGGAAGGGGTTGCCTATTCTATACCGGGGCAAACCGCAATCTTACCTCTGTCATATTTTTATATATTACCTGTGTGTACAATAAAGTATAAACGAATAAATAATTAACATACCGAGATGTACAAATTTGAGCACGCATCTATTGCATCGCACTTCAAGGTCATCTTGATGCTGTTTCAAGTGCTCGATGTAAAGTAGCACATTTGATGTCAGCTCGTAGCCGTCCGCATAGACGATTATAACCTGTGATAGAAAAACATTTGTAATTTTAGTTAGAGGTCTTTGACACTCTGTACTCTCTGTTTATCCCGCTAAGGATTTGACGTGAAGATAAATATAAAGTTTCAGTTGTATAGAGATGAAGCACATTAAGATCACAGATGCAAGATTTGATGATGATCATGATGAGATGATTAATGTTAATTATTTTGTAGTACTATGTGTATACGAATTTTAAGGTAGTTTCAAATCATTTACAAATAATAAGTGATTTTATGCACAGATGCTTTCATATATACAGGGTGGAAGGGACAGGTTTGCCAGAACAAAGGGGTTCCGTAATAAAGTCGCTAGGGTTCCGCGAAATTATTTATACAGTGAAATAAGTTCATTCTTCACATTAAAAATTAAATGAAGCTATAAAGTATTATACTGTTAAAATATAAAAAAAAAACATTTTCTTTTATTTAAATAATAGTGTTTTTGGTATGTAACCGTTTGATAAGGGGTTCAATAAAAATAAAAGACATTTGATAGGTTTATAACACAGGGAGGCAAACAAGCATGCTGCTCACCTAATTGTAAGTGACTACCGCCACCCAGGATCACCCACAGCAACAACAACAAGGCATTGCAGGTGTGCTGCTAGCCTTTCAAAAAGAAATATGCTCTTTTCTTGAAAGTTACGATGTTGTGTCGGTTCGGAATACTGCTGCTGGAAATTGATTGCAAAGAGTGGTTGTGCGCGGAAGAAAGTGCCTCCGTGTGTGAAGTTCAACGGAACTTGACACACTTAACGAAGTTAAAAGTTTAGGAACCCCTGGGTTTATTTTTTAATGGATGATAATGAAATGGTAACCCCGTCTATGCTATCGGTATACACTGGCGGGGCACCAGTGAAGGATGAATGATGAGGATGAAAAGGCAGATCAGTTAGCCCATCGTGACGAATTCAATGATAAATTAGTCACGATAATTTCCAGGGGAAACCGCGTGGAGGTCGACCTGATACGGTATATTGTTAGCAATGGGAACTAACCTCCTCATTACTAACAATCCCTTCCCCCCCGGAACCCCTGGGTTAGAGTATAGCTCAAGTTGGTGCCGCGTGCGTGCAGGGTGGTACCTTGAGGCAGTGTGGGCACAGCAGCCGGCCGTCGCGGTGGTGCGCGGCGCGGAAGTGGTCGAGCGCGGCGCGGTGGCCGGAGGCGCGGTAGCGGCACGCGCCGCAGCAGTACGGCAGCTCCAGCGGCGCGTGCGCCTTCTGCATGTGCGCCGCCAGCGTCAGCACCGCCGCGAACCGCACCTGCGCGTACACGACCAGTTGTGTTTGCATGGCTGTGTTTCGGTTTGAAGGGTGGGATATGGCGTGAATTTACTGGGTACGGAGGAATAACACCCGAGTCCTCAGGAATGGCAACGCATAGGGGGTATCATGGGCGTAACAGTATATTCTGTTATGTCCATGGTACTGCTCATGTCTATAGGCGACGGTTACCACTTTCCATCAGGTGGGCCATCAGCTTGTAAGTTGTATATAAAAAAAACACAACATAGGCAATTTTTTTATCAACCTCACCTAAGTGGCAACATTCGTCCATACATATAAACCGGATCATGGACTTGACAAAATAGACACTCCTTATGCATTGCCATACTTGTTCACTACGATATTATGTCTCCATACCCAGTAACTTCCCCGCCTTCATATATAATTTTTGTCCATACGTCATTGCGAAGCTGTTAACGGAATACTAATTACTATACGGAGTTGCTATAGCTTATCTATCTATCTATATATCTATATATCTTAAAAAATTCACTGGGTTGGACGTAATGTTATAAATATAAATACTGTTATAGAATCCATACCTAGAACCATTACCAAATAAATAAAATAAACACTAATAAAGACATATATAAGAGTAACGACTTTAATGGGATATATTCTTTTTTATTCCACGTAAATGGAACTGTCCACTGCTGAACATAGACTTTCCACGTAAGGGGAGTTTTGGCAGCAGTTGCCATGCTTGGTAGGAGGATTGACAACTGTAGTTAGACTTTGATGGTATTTGAAGAGGGCTGCAGCTGGCCATTCCTTGACCCTTAAGCTCCCTTATTTGCCTCTTACGATACCCAAGAGAAGAGTGTGGCCTATTCTATGCCAGGACTATATAGCAAGTAATAAGATAATTAATCTCCTTCACTTACAATCTCTCCCCCTCCCCCATAGCCATTAGGCTGTGATATACATAGGCAGATAATACAAACCTCACAAATAAGACAAGCATAGGTGAATATCCCCGGAGACTTAGTGTCAGCTGGGTGGGACTCCTTGAGATGTGCCTGCAGCTCATCGTCGGACGCGAAGCTTTTTACGCAGTAGTTGCAGTGGACGCCTCCTTCCGGGCCAGGCACCACGTGGGCGAAGATGTGATCCATCAACTTGATGTTGTCTGTGATCTCTACGTGGCAGATTGGGCACTGTGGAAGAAGCATCATCATATTACTCATTAAATGTCCACTGCTAAAGAAGAACTCATATTGGGGGGCTTTGACAGTAGTTGCCATGCTTGGCAGGCGGGTTGGCAAACACAAAGACTATAATAATGCTTTAAGAGGAACACTGCTGCTCATTCTTCGACCATTAAGTTCCTCTGGTTGCTTCTTACGACACCCATGGGAAAGGAAGGGGTGACCTCCATTCTATTGTGTAAGAATAAATTAAATAAATGCAAGAGTAAGAAAAAGATTCATAGACGATCAAACATACATTTTGGCTCATGTCAAGTGTAATCAATTGTTTACAATGTAGTCGATTCGGAAGCACCACACTATTTTTCTAATCATATATTTGAAATTAAAATTTCAATTTGATGTCACAGTGAAATCTAGAAACCAATGTGAACTAAATTTGTAATAGATTTAATAAGGGGGTAACTCTTTAATTCATAAAAACATCAAACCTAATTTTAACTAGTCAAAACCAATTTGAGCAAATAAAGTATCTCTTTTTTGACAGTGACAAAAAATCTAATAGTGAAAATAGTTTCGTAGAATATTAAGTTTTTATGTATAAAGGTATATAAGGGGGTTAGTTTATGTTAAGAGATAGGTTTAGATCTTCTGGCGCCAAAAGATCGACCCTAATGTTCGTTTGATAAGTGAATCAAGGCACTACACATTTGATGCAATATTTTTTGCTTAATGAAGATGGGGGATCCATATTCGTTGGTAAAACAACTGCAATGGATTTGCTTCAGTGTGTTGTGTGTGGGCAACTTCATGACGGTGTTTGCTAACGATGTTTCACGTTTATCAGGTATATCACGTAAAATTATAAATTATAATTTTAGAAATAAAGTGATCTGAAAAAAACGTGGCAAATATTTGAATTTACATGAAAACCAAGTTTGGTATTGTTTTCTATTTACAATGATTTAAGAGCTACTATTATATGAGTTTTGTCTACTAAACAGGTAATTACGTAAATACATATTTAAATTTTATATTTGTGCGTTGTTTACAAATATTTTAAATTATATTTATCGATATAATATTGTAAATTCATAATTCTGATTATAATAATTAAGTCCCGATCGTGAATATATTTGAAGCCAAATTAGAATTTTTTTAACATCTCTGTAAATTATCGATATACATTAATTCCTTTCTTTCCGTGATTACAGAAAGTAGATAAAACTTTATTTGAGAAATCTATCCAGGGCATGATAGGGCCGATATACTTGAAGAGGGTAACAGCCCTTAAAATTAAAATAAATAAATAATTAACCTACCTCTACAGCAATAGCTACTTTTTCCACTGGGTCATTGTCCACAACCTGTCCGAAGTAGTACCTCTCCATGGACACAGTCTCCTCAGGTTTGATCTCCTTCTTGATGTTCTTCAGTGGAATGTCGTCCAGGTCATCGTCCACGTACGTTTTAGGTACTTTACGGCGACGCGTTGGCAAATTCTCGGTTTCCTTTTCTTTGACCTTCTCTTTGGGCTTTTCAAGTTCTTGCTTGATTTTCGTACGGCGGAGGGCCAATGGTACCTAAATTAATAATAATTAAATCTTAAATAGTACTAGCGGCCCGTCCCGGCTTCGCAAGGGTGGACATTTTTAAATTTTAAAAACTGGCCATTCATGCTGCACACGCGACGGAAGCTTAAAAATGGAGTAACTTCTCCCGTTTTACCAACATTTCCCTTCACTGCTCTGCTCCTATTGATCGTAGCGTGATGAAAAGTTATCTTAACAATCCGTTAACATCCCGTTACGTGGTTACCGTAGACTATGGACGCCTGTAACACTATGGATGTCACGCGCACGTTGGCGAACTTTAAGAAACCTTAGTATGCCCTTTTTGAAGAATTACATGCTGTAGTTCCTAGGGAAGGCCTAAATAAATAGCCTAGTATAAATCAAGTCTTCAAAATAGTACATTACTGCAGCGGCCAGCAACTGAGGCATTGATGGGCGAACGTGCAAATGTGGGCCGAGGCATACCCGAGGCCAACATGCGTGAGTCTATCAATGCCTAGTTGTGGGCAAGGCTTGTATAGTACTTTTCTCAAACAATGCGCGGATTCAAAAACACAATTTTACTTTTTAAGTTCAATGACGAATAACGAACAATAATATTTTTTCATGCACCATAATGTTTCTTTGTTTTTTTTTTTTTATCAATAATCAGCTTTATATTTGCTAGCCAGTTTGAAATTTTAATAAAACTTTTTATTAGTTACCTCCTAGCTATGTTTCGAAGTAAAAGTTAATTTCATTTTTAAATTACAGGACAGATGAGTTTACATAGTAATTTATCTGGCCACAAAACATGACAGGTATGGATTTTCATACAACCTTTGCCGGCCGCTACCCGCATGTATCTGGCCAGTACGGCAATTTTGATTTATCTCGAAGAAGATTGTCAAAATACTGCTCACATATCCAAGCATGTTTGAGAAAATAAATTTTCATGGTTTACACTTGCTAAACTTTAATTAATACAAGAAACTAGTAGTAGCTAGTTCCTTCTTATACTATTTAGAATTCTGCTATCAAAATTATGGGGTACAATAGAGAGGAGCTTAATTATTAACATTTTATTTTTTCATGCGAAAACGGTAATCCACTCTTACATTATCTGGCCCTGAAAGAAAGATTCTATTATTTAGCTACACTGGTGTTTTTTTATGGTACTTGGAATAGGAAACGAGTTGCCATATTGAAAATTAGCATTCATCAGTATAGATCACGTTTTAGGAGAGAGAAAACATACCTCCTCTTCGTCATCATCATCAACATAAGTGGTGGCGGTGGTAGCGACGGCCTTCTCCTTCTTTTTCTTCTTAGGCGGCGGCACCGGGGACGGCTCCTTCTTCTTTCTCCCGCGCTTGTTGCGGGTTGGTTCTGGCTCTGGTTCTTCGACTTTTTCTTTGTTTTTCTAAAAAAAAAAATATTATGTACTTTTTTATTCTTCTTTTCATTTAAAAGTTTCCTCTTGTCGGTGCAATTAATTCATGCATCTTCTTCCAGCCAGTTTTATCCCAGGCCATACGACCTCCCTATACGACCTGACACCTAGTGTTTTATTACTAAGAAAAAATTAATAAATTGTCACTTTAAATCAGTATTGGAGCTAGTATGCTCTCAGACCCACTTGGATATTATTTCTATTGTTATTTGTATAGTTACGTAATATATATATACATGTGTTCACAGGTTATTTTAACAATCTGTTAACATCTTACTGCTGGATAAGAGAATTTACTGGAGATAAGTTCTTTTTTGGGTTTTATTAAGATTATGATTTCATTTTGAGTTTTCTTCTCTTATAGTTGTGTGTTATGTTTTCCCCTTTAGTCGTCTCTTATGACGATTTAAAGAAGGATACACTAATTAATTATAAATCATGAAAAAAAAATAAAAAAAAAAAATGTTTGTATAGACTGTAGTCGAGTTGTTTTGTCTCTTTTAAATTCAAACATTTGATTACCTTGCTGGGATACTTCCAGTTCTTGAATGGGTTGGCAGCGATCTTGTTGAGTCGTACCGTGATGGCGTCTTTCGCTTCCAACTTGGTTTGTTCAGCAATATGCAGCACTATGTTGTCGAATGCTTGTCCAGGCGACATACCGTACCTGCAGAATTACGTATATCATTATCATCATCATCATCAAATGTCCACTGCTGAACATAAGCCTCCCCCTTGGATGGTTTTGACAGTAGTTGCCACGCTTTGCAGGCAGATTGGCAATCGCAGTTAGGCTTTGGAGATTTCTTAAGAGAGATGCTGCTGCCCATCCCTCGCCTATTTGTTAGTCGCCTATTACGACACCCACGGGATAGGAAGGGGTGGACTATTCTATGTCGGGACCACACGGCTATACCCTTACAATATGTATATATTGGCATAATAACATAGAAATTAAAGACCCGATCGAATGAATATATATATATATATATATATATATATATATATATATATATATATATATATATATATATATATATATATATATATATATATATATATCAAAATGGTATGTACGATATCGAAGCGATATCGTTATTACCCTCACTTAGTAATATGTCTGAAAGTAATCCTACCTCTCTCTCCAAACGAGTTCATCTAAAAATTGCTGTATAATCTGCCTAGATAACAGCGAAAGCGTATTTTGGAACATTCTTGGTACTATGCGGCGCAAATACTCCATAATGTTCGCATTGCTATTTCTGGACGGCTGGTCAGAATGTGATGAGGCTTGATGGACGTTCTTGAAGCCCATATTTACAAGTGTGCCTTTGTCTACAGTCAGATCTGTCAATATCACTGAGGCAGGGTTAACCCACAAGGACAGGGGTTCTAATATCTTCTGAAATCGCTTTTTATAGTTCTTCTCGTGTTCCGCTAAAGGTTCGACCGCACGGAGACGAATCTAGAATAAAAACAAAGTGCAAGCATTTAAATACAGACCACAGTGCTAGTTACAGCATAGTGTTTGGCGTAGATATGTTTTAAATGGTACTGGGAGTGCTAAAGACGTGATGTTTTATGACTTCAGAAGGTAGTAATAGAAAACCAGTGCCTTGCATGGTAAAAAAAAAAGCTACACACTTTGTATTTTGCTATCGTACTTTTTTTTGTATGATTTTATATGTGTGTAATTGACTGAAGCTAACAAATAATATTTTTTTTATTAAAAGTAAACTAGACGCATAATCTAATTCATGCCAGTGCTGGCACCCTGGATTACATTAATGCGTGAAGTATGTAAACATGATATAAAAGGTTTTATTAAAATAACTCACCAATTTTTCAACAGGATCTAGTACACCCAACACTTCAACCTTCACCTGTCTCTGAGTACCATCATGGCTGGTAGTCCCAAGTGATATCACTCCCACTTCGACTTTCTTCCCAGGCCCGCCTAACATGCTCAGATGCTGATGTATAGCTGATGTACATATAGCTCTTAACCATGTAAACAGCCCTTTTACGTACAGATTGTCAACTTTTACCCATTGTACGACATTTTGCACGTTCGTCTGGCATGCCCAGTGGTAAATAAGCTTTAGAAGGACGCTGGGAGGAAATGTGGCTGCCTCGAAGATGGAACTAGAGAATACAGAGACGAAGCGAGTGGGGCAGCATTCAGATATCCAAACATAACCGCCGGAATAGGGGAATTTCGAAACATCGGAGTACATGCCTGTAAAGATAGATAATGGTTTAGGCTTATATTCGATTTTTATGGTGTACATCTTATCAGGCATGATCTGTGTACTGCTAAGTATTGGCCTCCCCATTTCGGTGTTTGCCAGTAAGCAGGCGACTACTTAGGCTTTTGGTAATGTTTTAAGAGAGATGTTGCTGTTAATCCCTCGACAATCAAGTTCCCTTGGTCGCCTTTTAAGAGACCCACGGAAAAGAAAGCAGTGGCCTATTCTATGCCGGGATCAGACAGCTACATCGGAACTATAGATGTTTAGGATATTTCTTTCAATTAAATGATGTCCTATTAATTCTGACAAATAACTACATAATGTGCTGTGTTCAAAAATTCTAGATAAGTAGCAAAATAATTTATCAATACATACATTTTGGATAGTGCTCACATGGGAAAGAACTAGACATTGGAAGTATTACCGTATTTTATCATGAAATAAAATTAATGAAGATTCAAAAAGCGATAACTAATTTATCATTATATTCTTTGGCCAATGGTCTAAAAGGGCTGGTTCAAAGCGTGAGACATAGCAGCATAATTACTAGGTCCTGTGAGTTATAGTCTATATTATTGTTACAAAAAATCAGAAAGTATAAATGTTACAAGCATACTTGAGCTGCTGTAAGCTGCAGCCACTTATCTAGTACAGTGGTTCTTAACCTTTCACTGTTGAGGGATTTTTGACTAATTTTCTCCCATGCCATAGACCACCAACTGTTTGAACTTCAAATAGTTCACATAATATTTATTTCTTCATTAAATTTTACTGTATGTAACCTCGAAGTTTGATGCAACCTCAAGGGCAATGTAAATAATTCTAATAAAGAAACACGCATACATTTATTCTTCAAACTGTAACACAACTAATGTCATGCATCAACTTGTTGTCATTTGTTTAATCTGTTTCAGATTTTTTTTTACGACTTAGAATGCCAAACAAGCTGACGGCCCACCTGATGGAAAGTGGTAACCGTCGCCTATAGACATAAGCAGTACCATAGACACAACAGAGTATACTGTTTCGCCCATGATACCCTTCATGCGTTGCCATTCTTGAGGACTCAGGTGTTATTCCTCTGTACCCAGTAAATTCACGCCATATCTCACCCTTCAAACCGAAACAGCTATGCAAACACAACTGCTTCACGGTTGAAACACGAATGGGACAGAGGTACCCAAGCAATCGACTTTTGTACAAAGTCTCCCTCTTGTTTTGCGGACTACTTGGGGTGCTTCCAAGGGCCACTAGTGGTCCACGGATTACCAGTTAAGAAGCACTTATCTAGTGGTACATTTTACATTAGATTGGAATCCTATCATTACATACATTTACGCTAAATTAAAAACATTAAACAACTAACCTAACTTCAGTTTATTCCCTGGATGTATGACACACCACTGTTCAGACCTGACCAGTCCTTGTTGTATCAGCCACTCGGTGAACTTCATTGGTGTATGCATCAGTACAGATTTCACTTTGCTGTCGAGCGCGGACCGATCAGAAGGCGGCGGCGCTTCCTTGGAACGGAGGTAGGGACGTGCCACCACCACGAGAGATGGGAATGTTTTTCCTAAAACAATTCAAGAAAATTAATCAATCAAACAAAAATAAGTATTAAACAAATATGGATACGACACCTAGTATTTAAGGCACCGGGTGGGCTGTGTTCATCCTAAACACAACTAGTGTCCACACCAGAACCACGAGAACTTTCAGCTTTGACCAAGCTAATTAATATTTTATCCGGAGAATATGAACAATTTTTCAAGAAAAAAGAAGTTCATGTTAAATGGAATGGGCAACAGTACAAAAAAAATATCGATTTGATACAAAAAAAGTTTGTATTATGGCTGTCTAATTATTTTAATAAACAAATTAAGCAGTCTTCTGACAAAATTAAAACCATCTGGATCATTATAAATAAAGAAACTGGAAGATCTAAAATAGCCTGTAATCAATTTACATTAAATTATGATAATAAATTAATAACAACAACAAAAGATGTAGTTAATATTTTTGAAGATTTTTTTGCTAATATTCCGATTGATATTACATCTTCTCTGGACTCATCTCAATCTCGAGCAAAAAAATTACTAGAGACTAATATCGTTGTTGTTCTTTAAGATTTAAATTTTCACATGTTAGCCCCTTTCATATCATAAAAATATTCAAACAGCTAAATTTAAAAAATACGAAGACCTTTGGGGCATGTCTGTAAAAGTAGTTAGTTCTTTCATAGATATTGTTGCTCCATATCTAGCCACTATTTTTAATAAATGTATTGATAATGGCACATTTAATGAAATTTAGCAAATTAATCCCACTATTTAAATCAGGAGATAAATTTGAGCCAGGGAACTATAGACCTATATATTTTGCCATTCTAAGTAAGGTGTTTGAAAAGATAATGTTAAATCAAATGTTACATCACTTCAGGGTTAACGGACTGCTTCACAGTCAGCAATAAAAACCACTTAAATATTTTCGAATCTTGGGAGAGGTCACAGGATGCACTCGGAGTTTTTTGTGACCTATCAAAGGCATTTGATTGTGTGGATCATAAAACGCTTTTGTACAAGCTCGAACATTATGGTATAAGAGATAATGATCAAAATTAATGAGAACTTATTTAGAGGATAGGGTTCAAACTGTAGATATTGACGGTGTAAAATCTAAGGGACTAATATTAAGATGGGCGTTCCACAAGGGTCAATCTTAGGCCCCTTTCTCTTTTTAATCTACATAAATGACCTTCCTTTATGGTAGAGAAAATTGCAGATATAGTGCTGTTTGCGGATGATACTTCGTTAGTGTTTAAAATTGGACGTCAAAGTAATCAATTAGACGATGTAAATTGTGCTATGTCTGCAATATTAAATTGGTTTACATGTAATAACCTATTATTAAATTCCAGCAAAACAAAGTGTATAAAATTTACACTTCCTAATGTAAGACTAATAAATACACAGTTATTGCTTAATGACGAAATAGTAAATTTTGTTAATGATACAGTTTTTTTAGGTATAACAGTGGACTCGAAATTACAATGGGGGCCCCATATTTCAAAATTGGCCAGTAGACTCAGTTCTGCTGCATATGCAATTAGAAGAATTAGGCAATTAACAGACGTGGCGACGGCTAAACTTGTATATTTTAGTTATTTCCATAGCATAATGTCTTATGGCATACTGCTGTGGGGTAAAGCACCATATAAATACTATATTTGTTTTACAAAAGAGAGCCATACGATTTATGGTATGGGTTCAAGAGAGTCATTACGTCAGTTCTTTAAAGACTCAAATATCCTCACAGTTACTTCACAATACATTTATGAAAATATTATGTATACACGGAAGAACTTAGCGAGTTTTAAAAAACTCAAAGACTGTACAAGTAGAAACTTACGCAATATAAATAAGCTTATTTTACCTAAATGCCGTCTGCACAAAATCAGTAATTCATTCTATGGTAATTGCATAAGATTTTATAATAAACTGCCGGAATCTGCATTAAATCTGACAGAGAGGCAATTCAAATCTTATATTAAACAATTTTTATGTAAGAAAGCCTATTACAGGATAGACGAATTCATAGATGACAACATATCAAGTAAATAATTAGTTTATTAGCATACAACGTTATAATTTTTTTTTCTCATTGCTTTCTTGATTTAATTGATTAATTTTAGAAATATGAAAGCGTAGCGGTTTTTTGTATTAATTGCCGCATGCATTCTTATGTAAAATGTGAATACTATAACTATCAGATGGCAATTGTGAGTAGCTTTGACGTGGTCTAGTGTTTTGAGTAGTCATGCTCACTAAAATGTCCAGACTTGTGGCGGCGTGGTGGGCCGGGTCATTGGGCTCCCTAAAATATGGTCGAGCGCAGTGATGGCTGGCTCATCCGTCATACTCGTGAACGGGTGCTGCTTGTAGGGACTGGTCTGCTCTAATCACTATGACTGATTTCCTCTTATTAATTGTTTAACCAGTTGGTTATGTATTCAATTTTTTTTTTCTTTTTGAGTATTTAATTGAATTAGTGCTAATTGGTGGTTTGTATTCACACAATTAAACTTAAAAATGTAAAATAATAATAAAATTATTTAAAAGAGCATCACGCAAGTTTCTTGCTCGTTCTTCTTGTGATGAGACAGCTTTCCGAACGAGCGGTAAATTAAAAAAAATGTAATGACTTTTCAAAAGTGCTTCAATGTAAGTTTATTTGAATAAATGATTTCTATTCTATTCTATTCTATTCTTTTGAGCAGACATTTCCTAAAATATATATGCATCCTTTTTATGGGGCCAGGTCTGTCTTCCCCCTAACCCTGGAAATTAGTTTTAAATATGTCTATATATGGGTATTTACCCGATTTATATAAATATAGTTATAGCATATTTTGACTGAAACAAATTTTGTTGACGCAGATGTTTTGTTTATTCGTTAATCAGTTATTAGTACAGGGAGAAATAAGTTGTATGTTTGTATCAGAGGATATGTATGGTAGATACCAGTTTACTCTATAAGAGACTAGGACTGTAGACACATATGAGTTTCCAAGATTGGTATGAACTATGATAAGTTACAAAGTTTAGTGAGATAAGTATATTTAATATTTCTAAGTACCTTGTAATTTGTTAAATGATACTTCACGAGAGTCAGCGATGTTCTTATTGCCATCATCTTTTGTGAGATCCACAATTGCTGTGGTTTTTGTTGTACTGCCCGTGAGGAGTCCACCGATAGCTGTTGCCTCCGACGGTCGAACATTGGTGACCACACTATGCACATCTGTAACAGGATTTTGGAGTTTAGGTATGCATATTCTACTGTAAAACAACTGATGTTCCCCTCAGAAACCATTGTCATTAGGGGAGAAAGGGATTGGGAGTAATGAAGAATGAGAATCCCATTGCTAGCAATATACCCAACCAGGTCGACCTCCTCACGGTTCTCCCTGGAAACTATCATGGTTAATTCCTGATGAATTCATCATGATGGGCTAATTGACCTATTTTTATTCTCATCTATCACCCTTCACTGGTGCTCCGCCTGCGTATCCCGTTAGCGCAGGCGGGATTACCAATACCATTTTTACTCATAAAAAAAAACATTGTCATTAAGTTTTGTTGAATTTGTCATGATAGGTCTAATGATACGCCTATCATCACTAACTAGTGCCCCGCCTGTGTATATTGATAACGCAGGCAGAGTTATCTTTCCTTTATCATTCATTAAAAAAATATCCTGAAGTTTTATAGCATTTAGTAATGCTTACCATTTAGATAAGTTGTAAATTAATTTGTTGAGTTTTATACACACGTAATAGATTGAGATAGCAAGACCCTGTATCTTTATTCTAAAATAATATATATCTGACAATAATTTGTCACATGTCAATGATGAATGTAAATAATCAAGTAGAAAAGATATGGTAGCTAAACTTACTGGATGGTGCCAATGTTTTATCTTTAGTTTTAGTACTTTCTTTTTCCTTATCTTTCTCTTTATCTTTTTCTCTTTCCTTTTCCCGGTCTCTCTCTTTCTCTTTGGTTTTTTCCTTCTTTTTCTTCTTGTGACGGGTCTCAGGAGATTTAGTCCTCTCTGGAGAAGGAGAGTAGTCACGGTCCTCTTCACGGGTTTTTCTTGGACGTCCTTGAAACAGATATTGTAAATGTTAGCAATTTATATTTACAATAATCAGAAAATATTATTAATTAAAAGCAACATTGTAGAAAAGATTGATGCATTGTACTTTTGTGCTGAATTTTGTTTTTAATTATTTACTAAATTATTTATTCAATATACTTATTCTATACTCAGTACAATTACATGTTATACCCAAAAAGCTTACAGAGTTTATCTGTCAAGATAACCAATGAGCAATTGCCATTACACTATTGGTATACTATTGCTATTGGTTAATGTGTATAAGTCAATTTATGGTTCAATGTGATAAGATCATGCTAGATGATTGAATTCCACTTCAAACCAATTAGCTGATAGATATACTAAATACATGTTTTTTTTAATTAAAGTTAATATAATGTGAGATGACTGGACAACAGGCAGTCATTATGCATATAATATTGGTACCAACCTCTCTTTGTGACAGGCTTCTCTTTAGCCACAGAGAGAGAACGAGACCTTGATCTTATGATGTCAGCACTCTGCCTCTCCAAATCCTTAAGCACTGGTTGCCTGAGAATAATATTTAATAGTGTAAATAATTTAAAAATTATAAACAAAATAAAATACAGCTGAATACTTTGTGAACAAAAATCATTATTGCTTTCATAAAGAAGAGTAGTTATCTTTTAATTTTGAAAACTAGTATTTAAAAAAAAAAGCTTGTGTGGTATTTGAGCAGTTATAGATGCAGTTATCTGCAATCCAAGACAAAATGAAAACAGGTTCAATGAAAATTTTTATATGTTATAATCCCATATTACCATCTTCATTCATCATGTTAATATTTGAAATAGTTCAAACTATTTTAATTAAGTTAATAAGGAATATGGCATTCATCCTTATTATCATTGATGTACCAGTCTGTTTGTTATACACATGGTTGGGTACAGCAGACTGGCGGTGAACAGAGATCTCGCTCTCATAAAATATGTTGTGTGTTACATGGATGGGTGCATCACCCACCAGTGCTAAAGACAGTCCAACTGCCAGTACCAATTGGTTATGTTAGCACGCACCATCATCTGGTGATGTTTAATGTCCCGCCAGTAAGATCTAACCTACTTCAGCACACTCCCTTAACTCGTGTAGTACAGTTATTAAATAATATTATAAACATTATTGATATATTTAGTAGTAGCCTGCCAAAGATATTAGAAGTGGCTCAGAAATATCTAGAATCGGGTTAAATACATTTATTATAACTTTGTATGTTAGCACACTAGATTTATAACATTGATTTAACTTTTGCTGTTATAATGTTATCATTATTTTTAATGAATAAATAAATAAAAAAGTTTTTATCCCAATAAGAATAAATAAATCTGTTTAGTGACCATAAAGAGAAAACAGTGTTTCTCGAGTAAGCTTTAATTATTATCCTTTATTATATAAAAAAAACATTCCAATTTTAAATAATATTAAGTTAATAATAAGAATGAATTCAGTTAAGGTTTAGCCAGATGCTTTTAAAACTTCTGAACAACAGTTTTAAATTGTTAAGGACACTTCAAAAGACATATTGAAAAATAAGACAGTGGCAATCCTATCATGACTAGCGCATGTCTTGATAAGGGTCTCAAAATGTTGTTGTTTATGCTAAAACAGAACTAAATTTTTTATTTAATATTAAAAAATAAGTAACAAATAAAGTAACTAACAGCATGTAAATATGTTTTCATTCACATATATCAAGGTTTAAAATCACCCTAACATTCTTGCTTACAATTATGAATACATATTCTTTTACAAATATTTAGAACATTTAAAAAATAAAGACAGTTAACTTACTTTCCAAGCAACTGATAAGCTGTAAACTGGTTTCCATTGTATACAATCTCTCCACCAGTGTCCTTCACCATTTCATCCAATTTATTCTGTATACTTTTGTATTCATCATCGGCATTCTTGAAGGCTTTGAGTTGAACCTCAGAAAGTTCTTCCTCCCAGCATTCCAGTTCCAATGTAGGAACATCAGGACCGAAGTAAGACCTCTTATATAAATCGGCTTCGATAATTTCAGCCTGAGGAGGAACTGGTCCTACAGGTTCCTGTAGAAACAAAAGCCGGTTATAGACGCAGAAAGATGATGGCCATGGTATACAACATAAATAAAGATGTTGTCAGCAACTGTGTTACCTCAGTATCACTTTTCAATTTTTTCAACTTCATGTTTAATTTGTATTATTTTTTTGCAATTTAAATCCACGAAATTCATAGAAATAAATTACTAGAGATAAAAATAATAATAAATACTATATGAAAGTATCACAACGCTATGGAAAATGACATTGACGTTGTCACTTGTTGCCATTTTAACTTATTATTACACAGAGCAATTTATGAAGATAAAATTCAATTTCTATGTACTGAGCTACAATTTCTCTGGATATATTGAAGAAAATCTGGCAACACTGTTCATTATTGAGGAATGAAATTAATGATAGTTTAAAAAGAATGAATGAATGAAAAATTCAAGCAACAAAAACATTTTCTTTCTACCATTTCATTGATCTGTGACTGTGACAAAATTGTTTATTCAGTGATAATGTTATGAAAATCTATTTATTTGAATATTTTTTGGATTAAAGTGATTTCTGGAAACATGGAAGCGGTACCAAAATTGCCGATGATCAGCTTTGAGCTGAAAGTAAGTCCAGAGAATACACATTTTGGACCCAAACTTAAGCAGGTATGTGTCACTACGTATTGTTATTCTATTTAATATTATTTCTTTATTGTTTAACTCTGTTCTGTTGTTTATTTAGTATATATCAGAAGCATATCGAGAAGATCCGGACAGTTACAGTAATGAAATACATCAGCTGGAAGGCCTACGGTCCGCTGCAGTACGGCCGACGACCGACTCTGCTGGTCTTTCTGCTCTCATTAGATATTTTTGCCAATTGCGAGCTATTCAGAGTAGATTCCCAATGGCTAAAGGACAACCGGTGGCCTGTACATTTGCCTGGTAACTATGTAGTTTTTAAATAAAGTATTTAAGTCTTAATATTGATGGATATTTTCTTTAGACATTACAAGTTTAGACACATCTTAAATGTAATACCTATATTAGTGATGATTGATTATAAAAAATTATGTGTGGGGGTGTTTAATTAAAACTTATGATTAAAATTTTAACTTTCAGGAAGGATATCTATGCCAACATGACTTGTCCATTAGCTGATATACGATTTGAGATGGCATGTATACTCTACAACATTGGTGCACTTCACACACAGTTAGCAGCATCTGAGCCTCGCACCTCCGTAGAGAGTCTCAAGACAGCCTGCACCAGGTATCAGAATGCCGCTTGGGCCTTCCAGCATTTGAGGGAACAGTACCCACAACCTCCAGGAGTTGATGTGTCTTCAGATATCATGAGGCTATTTCAAGAAATATGTTTTGCTCAGGCCCAAGAATGTATTCTTGATAAGAGCATTCAAGATACAAAGAAACCAAGTGTTGTTGGTAAGAGTCTATTCCTATTTTTTAATATGCTGCATATTCAGAAACTGCTTATACTATTAGTGTTTTTATTTTTTATTTAATTGCTTCCTCTCCTGGGTACAATTAATTCTATTAGTGTTATAAATAGTTTAAATAAATTAAAAAATTATAAGTACCTACTTCATTTTTTAGATTGTTTTTGTTGTCATTAATTGTAATTAAGTTGTAAATTATAATAATGTGACAATTATATTAAATATTACTGTTACCTTCATAATTTAAATATTGTCTTTATGTGTATGTTTATTACCAATTAAACTAACTTTTATGAGTAACTAACTGAAATTAGGCTTGTTTTACATTATGAGTCACAATGTTACACTGGTCTAATTTAAGTACCCTCCAATTAGTATATTTTTGTGATACTTATTATTCTAATAAACAGGTGCTGTAGCAACCCAAGTGTTGTTCTTCTATAGAAATGCACTTGCTCTGCTTGGACCGTCTACTGGCACGGATAACATTCACGAGATTACAGGCACTAAGATTTACAATTACTGGCATCGATATTTGTCCTTCAAATCATTCTATGTTGGATGCATAGTTTGTTTATATCAGGGTAAGTATTGGTTAGTTTATTGTAATAATAATATATAACTATAGATAGGACAAATATTTTGAACACAATGTTAAGGGCTATTTCACTAGTAAAATTAAAATTTTACATACACTACAGTGTAAACTTTAGTGTCTATGGTTTTGTGGTGTTTGCTAAAAATATGATCTGTATGTTTGTACCATATTGTGTCATTGTGGTAATAGTCATATATAATAAATAGACATTTACTATATCACTAACTTGTTAGGAAGTTACAGAATTGATTTGATTGTGTGTTACAAATTATTATTATAGTCTAGTAATAATATGTGAATGGATGCATTTTTACACATAAACATTATCTGTAGAAATTTTGCTATATCAACTAATTTTGCTTAGGAATGAATGCTGAAGAACAACAGAAGATGGGAGAAAGAGTGGCATTCTACCAACAGGCGGTTGATAAACTTAATGAAGCCAGAAAACTGGCCAAATACATTGAACCAACTCAAATTACTCAAGAAGCATTGACTTTTACCAATGATGTGGTGGAAGGGAAGCGGAAGGCAGCCAAAAATGAAAATGAGTTCATATACCATGAAGAGGTGCCTGATAAGGACCTTTTGTTGGATTTGAAACCAGTTTGTTTGGTGAAAGCCATGGCAATCAACTTTAATGACCCTGAGGTGATTGATTATTGAATAATTGCAATTTTTTTTATTAAATTTCTTTAAACATTTTTTTATTAAAATAGTTAATCTTCAATAGGTGTGTAAAATGTGCATAATGCTTCACTTCAGTTCATTTTTGCTCATATTGTTTTTAATTGTAATTATTACTGTATTCCTGAGTGCAATTAGCTCTCTATTAATATTATTTAATTTAAAGGACCTACTGAAGCAATTGTAATAAAGTTATACTATTTTTGTTATAGCTCTCATGGAAATTTTCAAATATGCTAGATGTTAATCTGTATTGCATAGTAAATATAATAATATAATAGTTGAGATAATTATGCTTATAGATTCACACGAAAATTATATTTTAATAATTATTGAGTGCTTTAAAAAGGATACAAGCTTATTTTTAAAAATTGTTTTCAGCTATCTGGCCCAGATATATTTTCCCGTTTAGTCCCAATTGGGGCACACGAGGCATCCTCCATGTATTCTGAAGAAAAGGCGAAACTCCTCAGACATGTAGTGGGACAAGCTGAATCTAAGAACACAGAGCTTATGGAGTTTATGTCTTCATTGCAACTCGACCAGTTGGAGGTGTTGGAATCTGACCAAAAGTAAGTATTCTTGGTATTTTAAAATTTATTATTGGTTTTTTAAGGTTACACTCTGAAAGTTATGTGAATGAAATCCTACTACGATTTATTTATTTAAAATTTATTGGCCAATAAACTTTAAGTACATAAATAATAAATAAAGTGTTGGATGAACCCCCACTAGATGGAGTGACGACCTCTAATGCATTGCAACAAGTCAGTGGATGTAGGTGGCTCAATATCATTTCTTATGGAAGTCTATGGGGGAGGTTTATGTCCAGCAGTGGACATAGACCTCCCCTATGAAATGATGATGATGAAAGATTAATAAAATGTGTCACAAAAGGCAGACTTAATGTGACATTCTCTACCAGAAAACTTTTTTAGGATTATTTTTTATACAAATTAGAATGGCAAACAAACTGACGGTCCACCTGATGGAAAGTGGTAACCGTCGCCTATAAGCAAGTCGCCAAGTAGTACCATGGACATAACAGAGTATACTGTTTCGCCCATTATACCCCCCATGCGTTGCCATTCCTGAGGACTCAGATGTTATTCATGTGCCTTTTTGTTCACTATTTTACTTCGATTTTTCTTTTTCTTCCACTGGCATATTCTGCTGCTGTATAATTGTCTCCTACAACATCATAGGGAGGAAAAAGTGTGGCGTCATGTTTTAGTCTTATGATAAACATATTTTGGATACAAAATTTGTATGTTAATTTGCAGTAACTTGAAGGAAATGATTATCTATTGAGGTTGATATCTGATAATATTATTGTTGAGAGTTGCTTTGCCATGAGTCATCTTTTTTATAGTTTTGCTTGTTAGTAATGTAATATTTTATTTCTTAGTCCAGTGTCTTAGATTATTATAGTATTAAACAATTAAGGGAAATTTTCTTTTTTCATAATACTTATGAGGCTTATGTTCCTACTACTAGGAAGTTATTGAAATAAATTATTAAAATTATTGTATGTTTTTATTTTAAGTTATTATTAACTGCTTAAAAAATGTTTTTTATCCAATCGTTGAAAAAAGGAGAATAATGTTATTAGGTGTATGTATGTATTTATATAAATATGGTCGAAAACTCATTTTTTATATCCTGTTTTTTAATATAAATTTGCAATATCAATTTATTCATTAATAAATATTTAGAACAATAGTTATAAATGATATATATGTAATTTTTAACTAGGATACCACAAGAAATAGTGGATAGATGTGCAGCCATGAATGCCAAGGCGGAAATTATTCAAACACTCGTTGATTCCATGAACAACTTGGCTGAAATAATTACTGATGTGGAGCAATCGTTGGCTGAAATCAAAACTCTTATACAGGTGGGATATTCATTAATGCAATTTTAATTAATTTTCATTTCATAAAACTATGTTATCTATCTGTCCGAGTGGTACCAGCATAGAATACGCCATCCCTTCCTTTCCCATGGGTGCTGTAAGATGCGACTAAGGGAGGGCGAGGGATGGGCAGTATCGTCTCTTTTAAAGCATTTCTAAAGCCTACCTGCGGTCGCCAATCCACCTGCCACACGTGGCAACTTCTGGCAAAACCTAAGAAGGAGGTTTATGTTCAGTAGTGGACAGTTAAAGACTGATATGATGATGTTATCTACACATAAATTAACTGGTCAAGGGAGTTCCTAACACAAGACAATTTATTGACTGCTCATATCTCTTTCGGAGATCATGATAAGGGATTATAATTATAACCAATTTGTATTGAGCTGTTTTACAAAGTAAACTTTGATTGATTATTCAGAATTTTTACATTTCATTATAAGTTGGAAATATTGTAAAGTTTGTCCATTTGTATATGGCTATTCCAAAAATAATTATTATAATTTAGGATCTATCCCATTTTTTACAGGACGAAACAAAAAAAGAAAAAGACTACCAACAGGTTATGGGCCCTCGTCCGCCATCTATTGTTCAAACTGAGCTGTCTCGCGAATATCACAAGTACCAAGAGGCACACAGTCGAACCAACGAAAGCAACCAAGTACTGCATAAAGCTATGACACTCCACATAGCCAATTTGAGACTGCTTGCACAGCCGCTAGATGTACTGCAAGTTAAAATTCCTAGTATTGATAATATTGGTGAGTCTTTTTTCTGTATCTACTTTAAATTTTAAAAATATATTATGCCCATGTCGTGTGTGCCCCTGCATAGAATGGGCCACCCCTTTCTTTGCCGCAGGTGTCGTAAGCAGCAACTAAGGGAGGGTGAGGAATGGGCAGCAGCTTCCCTCTTAAAACATCTCAAAGCCTGACTGTGATTACCAATCCGCTTGATAAACGTGGCAACTACTGGCAAAACCCTGTAAGGGGGAGGCTTATGTTCAGCAGTGGACAGTTAAAGGCTGATATGATGTTTATATATATATATATATATATATATATATATATATATATATATATATATATATATATATTATGTCAGAGTAGCACGTCAAAGACAGAATTGAGTAACTAAGTCAGTGTTTTTCTGTATTATGAATTATGTATTATACATATAAACCTTCCTCTTGAATCACTCTATCTATTAAAAAAAAACCGCTTCAAAATACGTTGCGTAGTTTTAAAGATTTAAGCATACATAGGGACAGACAGACAGCGACAGCGACTTTGTTTTATACTATGTAGTGATAATTGATAACATTATCTATTACTTCTGGTACCAAGTTGCTTATTTACATTTTACCAGAGGGAGACTTTGTACAAATGTCGATTGCTTGGGTACCTCTGTCCCAAATACTTGGCAACATATAAAGTTCAGTGGTAATTTTTGGTGGTGATGGTAAACGGAATAACTGCAGCTTATGGACGCCTGTAAGACCAGGGATACCATGCTTTGCCGACTCACAAGAAACCTTAATACGCCCTTTTTGAAGAACTCCATGCTATAGTTTTTAGGGAAAGCCTTCATAGGTAGGTCATTCTACAACTTGAGTGTTCGGGGCCGAAACCTCTTCTGAAACCTCATTGTACGTGATCATTCTGGTTCTATCTGTGAGGATGGGTTTTCTGTCGATTGCGAGTCGAATTACCATTAGGTAGACCATAGGTAATATATGTTTGAATACCAATATCGATCGTGTTTTTCTTTAAAATTTTTGTTTCCCTTCACAGAAGGTTTAGATCGCGAGACGATGGCGGAGATGCGGCGGGTAGTGGGCAAAGCGCGCGAAATGCAGACACAGCGGGACGCCCTGATCCAGCAGTTGAGAGAGGCAATCACCAACGACGATATCACCTCGCAGCTTCTCGCGCGGAGTAGCGAGCCCGCCGATGAGATATTCAAACAGGAGTTGGAGAAGCACACGCCGAAGGTATGTTTTTTAAAATATAAAAATAATACACACTATTCCGTGACTTTACTCGAGTAAATCAGTACATTAAGTATCCTGTATGCTAAGTTAAGATACGAGTATAAACTGCCCATGTTTTTTTTATACAACTTAGAATGGCAAACAAGATGATAAAAAAAAAAATATTGGGTTATAGTTAATTTTAATCCAAATCGTAAATTATATATATATATATATATATATATATATATATATATATATATATATATATATATATATATATACACACACTATCAGGTGGCAACATTTTATGGGGCTGTCAGTGCCTGAAATAAATGATTATTATATTAATTTATCGAGAGTGGGGCAGACTGCAAACAAAATTGTGGTAAAATGCTATTTTTTATTTATTCAATGTATGGTATTTTTTTATTTATTTGGTATCTACCTTTGTCTCTAGGTGAAAATTATCGAGCAGAATTTAGCAGCCCAAGAGAATATAATCAACAAGTTGACATCACTGTACGCGTCGTATGGTGACTCGCGGCGGTTGCTCTCTGACGTGTTGAGGAAGCGAGAAGGTCTCATTAATGGTAAGAATTTTTAACCGACTTTAAAGAGAAGGCTTTCAATTCAGTTGTTTTTTTGTTTTGTTACTTCATAACTCTATGAAATGTAAACCGATTTGGATTTTTTTTTTATATGAAAGGATATGCTTGCAGATTAAAGATGCAGATAACAATTTTGTCAAAATTGGTTAGGTATTATAGTTTTTAAATAAAAGTAACTGATTTTGCCATAATTGAAGTCGCTTTTCTTTGTTTTGTGGAACACAATTTAATTGTTTAAGTACAAACGTATAGACTTTTACTATTATATATTTACTAGCTATTATATACTTTAGATATTTTTTCATTGATTGCGCGTAGAAAATAAGTGTAAATAAACATTTGAATGGCGGAAACAATGAGGCATTTATTGTCGTCAAATGCTAACAACTATAAGTATTAACATATAGTGTTTCTTTAGTAGGTAAAAAATTTTGAATTGAGATAAATTACATAATAATTTTGCTTTATTGATAACTAGCTGTATCCCGCGGCTATACTCGCGTGAATTAATATGTTATAAAGTATGCTATGTGCTAAGTTAGAATATAACCTACCCGTGTACTAAATTTCATTCAAATCTGTTCAGTAGTTTTTGCATGGAAGAGTAACAAACAACCATCCGTCGTTAAAACTTTCGCATTAATAATATTAATAGAATTTTGTCAATTTGTATTGATTTATGCATTGTGTGAATGGGTTTTAAGATATATTTTCCTTTTTCCAGCTTTGATCACTTCATATGATACATACGAAGAGCTCCTAGGCAAGTCGCAGAAGGGACAAGAGTTCTATAAGAAGTTGTCGCATAACGTGAGCCAGTTACTTACCCGACTGCGCAGCACCTGCCAAGTGCAGCAAGAGGAGCGGGAGCAGCTGCTGGCGAAACATAGTAGCAAAGGTGAGTGTAACAAAATGGTCAAGTGTGAGTTCATCTCTTATACCAATAGAGTTCCATATCAAGGACATTTTTAAAATCCCTCTGTTGATGTTGTTGTACTTGTTTTTATTTAAATAACTTTGCTTTTGTACAACAAATATTTTTTAATCTATTTTTAAGTATTTTCTGATAAGGTCGCCTATTGTTTTCTCATTGTGATTATTTCTTGTAATTATTTATAATAAGTTTACTATTGTAATCTTTTGGTGGAAACAATAAAGAGTATCTATCTATCTATCTTTCTCCGATGAACCGGATTTTCAGTATATCTCCGATATAAAGCTGAATGATGATAATGATGATAAAATCAGAAGATAGTCACAAACTATTTTGTTATTCTTTTAGTTTATTTTAATAAAGTATGTTTTTTTATATACAACTTAGAATGACAAACAAGCTGACGGCCCACCTAATGGAAAGTGGTAACCGTCGCCTATAGACATGAGCAGTACCATGGACATTACAGTGTATACTGTTTCGCCCATGATACCCCCTATGCGTTGCCATTCCTGAAGGACTTAGGTGTTATTCCTCTGTACCCAGTAAATTCACGCCATATCCCACCCTTCAAACCGAAACACAGCCATGCAAACACAACTGCTTCACGGTAGAAACACGAATAGGACAGAGGTACTCAAGCAATCGACTTTTGTACAAAGTCTCCCTCTGGTTTGTGTTTGGACTTTCTATATATTGACATCGAGATATAGTTTCAATTAAGGTTGATTTAAAAATACTTTGTTTTATTCCAGCATCGACCCCCAGTCCCGTACCGGCGACGGTAGGCGTCACCAAGATGGCCGAAGTAGCGCCGACGCCCAGCACTGGCACTCGTAAACTAAAGGACTACTTGCCTTACATGAAGAATAGAACATTGGCTGGGAGAACTCAAGGTGAATATATTTAATATATATATATATATATATATATAGGTAGTGTTTCAGAGTACAAAGATATAGAAGAGATAGTGTGTTTTATTGCTGGGTACTTTTATAGTTTGCACATGTATATATACAATAACACAAGGATGCACAATAAGGTGGCAAAGCGGGCAAAAGGCTTCAGACCCCTGGCCGAAGGGGGCCCCTAGACCGAGAGGTAGCGAACACAAGAAGAATCTAATGATTTATTGCATAAACTAGTAAAAAATATTTAACTTAAGAGAATTAGACAATTAACTCGAATATAAACACGAATTATAAAAATTATTCCATTTGCCAGCTGATGAATTTGTCACGGGCCCAAGATGGTGTATTTATGTCACTGCATGGGTATAAATTAAAAATTCCCAACACAATTTTTCTCTGCTATGTTTGACAAATGGTGCAACAATGTGGTTTTGGTTACCATTGGCATTAGGAATGATGTATGGAGGTTGCCAAATATATGTCAAATGTGTGAGAAAGAATCTCTATTTAATTTGAGAATTTGCGAAAACGCCCATGTCCTTATTACGAACGCATTATAGTTTTTAAACATTTCATTTCGTACATATGCAGGATACTATTATGTTGTTAACGTGAGATAATTGTTTTATTTTCTATTCTTCTTTTTAGTTCCAGTTGACGTCGTGCAACCTGACACGTACTATCCTGAATCGATATATCCGACGTCTGTCAGACCAACACCCGTCGGTTCTGAGGGTAAGTGTTGTTTCTGTTATAAATAAGAGCATTTTTTTGTAAATACAAAATACAATATGTAAAAATGTCAACACATGAATGAATACTCACGAATAAAATTGTATTTGTGTCATGTGGGATTCAAACATATAAGTATCAGGAGGCGTCTGTTAAACCGCTACAGCGTCGGTGTCGTCACTACCATTAAGTAAACGATTACTGCAGAGTATCTACTTTATATTTTTTTACACGATGAAGGTGGCAAACAAGCATACAGTCCGTCTAATGGTAAACTGTCATTGCAACCGAGGGACGCCTGTAACACTAGCGGTATCCCGACGACCAAGAACCCTTAATGCACCATTTTTAAGAACCCCATACTGTAGTCTCTAGGGGAAACCTTGCCAAGGAATTTACAGATATAATACGCTGTGGTCTAGGCATAGAATGGGCCACCTCTTTCTTTCCCGTAGGTGTCATAAAAGGTGACTGAGGGAATTTAACGCTTGAGGGATACGCAGTAACGTCCCTCTTAAAACATCACAAAACGTAACTGCGATTGCCAACCCATATTTTATAGATATTGGATGAGGTGACTAGGGGAATAAAGACCCATAAATACCTAAAATTCTATGCCAAGTCACCTAGCCAGCGCAATAATAATAGGTTAATATCCTTTTCTAATGGAGAGACCCATGCTCAGTACCACGTGTTTATGGATTGTTACGGTTATCTATATTAATATTACAATATAAAGAGAAAAGATTTGATTGTTTTGTTTGTTTGTTTGTAATGGATGAACTCAAATACTACTCAACCGATTTTAAAAATTCTTTTATCTATAGAAAGTTATGTTATAAATAAGTAACATAGGCCTTTTTTTTTAATTTTATAGAACCCGTATGAAGCCAGGCCAAATCGTTGGTAAAAATAAAAAAAATTTCAATTATAATATATTAAGTAATTAAATTGTAATATTTACGTTTTGTTTCAGCTACTGATTTATCTCAAACCCAATTACCGGATGGCGTGGTGGTCCCACAGGCATTACAAAACCCAAATAATCCATACGGCCGATATGGTACACCTTACGCGCCAACTGGAAATGAACCTTATTCTATACAATCTAATTATGGTTATCCCATGAAGACGGGATATGACAAGCCTGAAGATGCTCAATATGGTTACAACACACCATACACTCCGCCGCAATACTCATTGCAAGACCCACAATCTCAATATACAAACCCATATTATTCAGCTACTCACAATAGTTCGACTATAGTGACCGACTCACAGAGCCCCATGGCATACAACAGCGTGAGCCAAGCGAATATGCACCCTAATGTAAGCCAATATGGTGTATACAGTGATCCGTACAATCAACACAATCAAATGGCAACTATACCTGAGGTGTCTTCTGCATATAGTACTCCATATAACCAAAGTCAGGACTTGACCGCAAACTTTGGACAGATGCAAATTGCTACCCCCAGATCGGAACCAATAAGTCAGCCAACGAGGCAGCCAATGAGTCAACCAATGAGTCAGCCAATGACTCAACCAATGAGTCAGCCAGTGAGTCAGCCAATGAGTCAACCAATGGGTCAGCCAATAAGTCAAGCAACAGGCTACGGAGCTGACTATTCACAGACATACTACAATATCCAGTATCCGCAAACCTCTACTCCTAATGTTGCAACATACAGCAATGCTCACAATCCTAATACAAATATGAATATGACTCCATCGCAACTCCCATCCGACTACAATTCGATGAACTATCCATACAGTACCAATACTCAGTACCAGCCAACTCCAAACGTATCTAGCACATATAGCGCCGAACAACAGTATAGTTACCCGAATTACGCCACTCCAGAGTATCCCATTTATACCAATACAGACAGCAATATGACTTCAACAACCTCTATCACAAACATCCCAGTAAGTGTCCCCCAAGCATACAGTACTATTCCCGAACAAGACAGTAATTTCATTGACCCCAAAGTCCTCGCTCAATTGGATGCCATAGACAAACCAATAAAATCACATGTGACCGGAGAAGCGTTGTCTACGACCCCGCAATATCAACCGAACTACCAGAATATTCCAAACGCGACACCTAATTATAACCCGGCCGAACAGAATACGGTGCCGACTACCTCATATCAGTACCCAGATCAGACACAAAATGTCAATTGCAATCAGACCTATCAAAACCACCCGGGTTATAATTATAACCCGGCGACAGGCACGTACGATTATAACTACGGATCTCAAAACTCTTTTACGGGGTATGTAAATCCTGATCAAGCCAATGTGAACTCACAGTCGATGGGACAGAATCCGAATTGGCCTGCTCAGGGAGTTTATACGAGTGCAGGGACATGCGAGACTGTGCAATCACCGTCTTCAGAACAAGTGCCCCAAACGTCTGTAGAGCCGTTGAGCGACAACCAAACTTATTACAATGCGCCGTACGGTTATCAAACTATCCAGCCAAATGAGAGTGTGCCTAACTCTCAGCCAGAGACAACGAATTATGGTGCCAATATAAATCAGTCGACTTATATGCAATGTGGACAAGGGCAGGACACAAGTGTCACTTTTAGTAATAATCAAGGTAAGAGTCTATTATAACAGTTATTCTCAGCTATTGAAAATACCTTTTGGAATTATGCACCATTGTATTTTAACGTACTGTTTATTGTAAACTACTTACTTGCTGCTAAAGAATTTTTATTGACATTTGCCAATTTAAATTATACACAACTTGGGGACGGAATATATGAGTTGGCTACTATACTTGTAGAAGTTATATTTTATACATTAGTGCATATTGTCTGCGTTATTTTATGGCAATTAATGTTGCTAATTAATAAACTTACATATTATGGTTCAAAGTAGTTCGCTATGTTATTTTAATAAATAATTTTTATTCAAGTAAACTTAATAAGCATTTTTGTATAGTAATTTCTTTTAATGTATCTATCGCTTAAAAAAGCTAGAACGCAACTATTGCTGTTTAGACTTATACATGTTTAGAGATAATTACTAATACTACATTTTATATTGTAACTAATGATTTATTAATAAACAATTTCCAAATAGAACCAGTATTTTATTTATTTTTCCTTTTCAGTGACCACTCCAAAAGAAGAGATGCCGCAACCCAACTTCGATAATAATGTTCCCGAAACGCCTATTGCGAGCTCGCAGATAGAGATAGAAACAAAAACTGAACCGGAAAAGCCGGTGGACAAGCCCGAACCGTCAGTATTCGATCTTCTATCCGATATTGATTTTGCGGTCGAACATAAACCTCTAATGCCTGAAATAAAAGTGCCTCAGATTTCTGAAAGTGCTATCAAAAAGTCATCTACGCCAAAACCGATGCCGGTAGTTGCGCCTGCGCCGAAAGAGGAAGTGCTGGAGCGACCGGCGAAGGTAGATCTCTTCTCGGATCCAAGTTTACTGAATAAATTCACTCAGGAGGTGAAGAATTTGCAGAAACTGGTGGATTCGTTGACTGATAAGACGCCTAGCAGGTTGACACTTTTGGACTCAAAATGGAAGACTTTCCAAGATGTACAGGTCAGGATGGTCAAAAGTTTTTATTTTATTACTAGCTGAATCCCGCGGCGTTGCCTGTGTGAATCAATACATAAAGCAGGTTATATGCTAAGTTAGGATACAACCTATCCGTATATCAAATTTGGGCTGTGTGATCCCGGCATAGAATAGGCCAGCTCTTCCTTTCCCGTGGGTGTCGTAAGAGTCTTTTAGTTTGCTCTTTAACAAGTTATTATAATATTGATAATATATTATTGTATTAATATTAGATCATTATTGTTATATCGGCCGTGGACTGTAACCTGCTGAACATAACTTTTTGCCAGTAGTTGTCACGTTCGGCGGAGGAGTTGGCAATCGCAGTTAGGCTTTTGGTGGTATTTTAACAGGGACGTTGCTGTCCATTTCTCTACCATTTACTTCCTTTAGTCGCCTTTTACGACACCCAATTATTTTCAATAATTATTGCATAACAGAATCCGAAATGAGGATATCTGCTAAAGAACCAAACTAACCGACATAGTCCGAAGGATAAGCAAGCTGAAGTGGCAATGGGTTGGTCGCATAGCTCGAAGAACCGATGACCGATGGGGAAGATTTTTCCACTGGAGGAAGTGACGACCTCAAATACATTCTAAGGAGTATGTCGGTGTAAGCAGGTGGCTCAGGACCTTTTCTTGTGGCAGTCTATGGAGGAGGCATATGTTCACCAATGGAGAGATAACGGCTGATATGATGATGATGATGATGATGATGTAAATAATCATTTTTAACACGTACACGCAATTTGTATTCAGTTCTGTAGTAATGTTACAAAAAGTACAAACTGATTATGTTTACAGGCCAAAGAAAATATGACTAGAACAAAAACGATCGCGATGCAGCATTCTAGCGGGAACATAGTGACCGATGTAGTGCCTTTCGATGACTCAAGACTGACCCTCAAGTCTGATCCGGATGCTTACTTCAACGTCTCATATTATAGAGTGAGTATAATTTAAATAGATTTGTGTAGGAAACCTTTAAGGTAGTTGATCACTAAACAAAATTAGACAAGAAATAGTAGATGGCGCTGGAATCGAGACTTGTGGTTTTTGTTGATTATTTTGTAATTAAAGATAATTTGAAATAAAATTTATGGTTTGGCGAGTGGTTTTTATTATTATTACGTATGATTATGAAGTGATAGAACTCTAGCCCTGTGTCTATCGTAATGTGTTTTGGCAGTATGTGTTTTTTTACAAAGTTGTACAATGCAAATGCAATAAAGACAAAAATTATAATAAATTATTACTATATCGGTGAAAAATAAATAAAACTACTTGCCACTTTAGAAATTTTGCCTTTAATTATCTTTAATTAGAAAATAATCAAGCAAGTTTCGATTCTATCATCATCTTGTATTTATTTATTTATTTCATGTCGAATTGTACATTTTTGATCTTGTTGTACATTTTTGATCGAAATAATTTATATTAATGTAATTTTTGTGAGCAATAGAATAATAATAAATCTATCCTATGCACAATGCAATACGCCCTCAATACACTGTTTCTTTATACGCCGCATCAATGCAACACGAACACACACTTTTACATTATTTGTTACAAGAAAATTAATAATATCCTATAGTAATAATACAAATAAAACACTAGGTGTCATATCGTATAGGGAGGTCAAGAATATGGCCTGGGATAGAACTGGCTGGAAGAAGATGCATGAATTAGTTGCACCGACAAGAGGAAACTCTTCAATGAAAAGAGAGAGTACACTAATAATAAACTAATGCACCTTAATAGGACGTCATTAAGTTGTTACAGATGGATGGAATACGTGAATTCTAAATTATATCAAATTTTTGCAGCAATTAGCATCCTGGTGTATCCCTCTTGTGATATCGAAGAACCCTGCCGAAGAAGATTGGGAAGTATTCTGGAGAGCAGTGCTCGAGCATAAGATTAGTTGTATTGTGTGTTTGCTCAGTGAAATTGAGGTGAGTTTAAATTATTTAAATATGTATTTTTTCTGTCGTGAAACAAAAACATATTCTAGACTAGCTGTTCTCGTGTGTGAATCAATATCTTATGTATCTTATATTCTATATCTATACCTTATATACGCAATCCGTGTACCAAACATTCAAATTGCATCTACTTGTGCAAAGTCGGGGCCGTACACTAGTGTTCAATAAAAATAACCCATAAAAGTGATGACCAAACATTCAAATATATATATTGCATCTACTTAGAGATAGAAAAAGGAAGAGAGAGGGAGAGCAAGGAAGATGCGGAGGTCGATCACTATCATTGTGTTCAATAAAAATAACCCGTAAAAGTATTCTAAATATTTGATGAAACGAAATCATTAGATTTCAAAAAAATTGACTCTTTATATTATCAGATCCAAGGCAAATCGTACTGGCCGACGGCCAGGGGCCAGTCTTTAGACCTGTCGGGTGGGCTTAAGGTGACGCTGGAAGAGGTGACGTGCACCGTACACTGGACGGAGAGGAAGCTGACCGTCGCATGCGGAAAGACCGCCTTCAATGTCACGCATTATCAGATCAACGTGTTCCCCGCCAAGTAAGTATACACTGCAACACGTTAGGGCCCCATTATCCCTAAGTATTCTGTAAATAAAAATAGAGATTGACATATAGACTTATTCAAATAATTTATGATATAGGTGAGAATGTTCATTGCATACAATTTTAATATAGTTTCCTTTAAGCCTATTTATATTCAAGATCTATGTAATTCATCAGTCGTTAGTGTTGTGACTTTTAGTTAAAAGTTAGGTAGGGGTGGGGGCATAGTAAAATGTTGGGGAGGGGAGGAGTGAGGGATTAAAAAATTTAAATAGGTGGCAAAGGAATCGATACACGAAACGGAACAGTGGCAGTTTTCTCACTATTTATGATCGATCCTGAAATTTTGCTTTGAATCTTTAGTTTTTTTTTTATATACAACTTAGAATGGCAAACAAGCTGACGGCCCACCTGATGGAAAGTGGTAACCGTCCAGCAGTACCAGCAGTAGAATTATAATGAAAAGGACAATTTGAAAGAACTTGTAAATATGTCTATTTGAATAGAGATGATTGCTATTCTGTTGATGAGTAGCAACGAAAACGTATCTACCGAGGGATTTGCTGCTACTATGGATTTGTCTAGCAAAGCAAGTTTTCAGTAATGGCATCGTGTTTACCGTGTCGCCTTTTTTTGTGAAAATTATAATTTATTTAAATATTAGCCGTTTCCCCGTGGCGTTGTCCGCTTCTAAAGATGCAGGTCCCGTGTTTCATTCCCATTGGAATTCTTCGGTCCGGTTTCCGGTTTTATATTGTATTATATACTTAAATGATAAATACGTACCTAATAAAGTTTTAGCCAATTCAACTAATAGCTTATTTTATAGCATTTTATATGTGATTCTTTAGATTAATAGAACTTTTTTTATTTATGCACCGATTGAAATAAAACAAACACTAAATGTTAAGTGGAGCAAACCGCAACGCATTAGTGAATACCGCGTTCAAATCGGTTAAGCCGTTTCTGAAATTACCGCGTACAAACGTACAGACAAAATGGACATACATAAAACAGACAAAAAATAAAAAATAACTGTTTTGGTTTCTATTGCGTTCATAAAACTATTATATGATATAGACATAGAAAAACTATTATAGGGAGCCTCCCTATAATAGTTTTTCTTATATATCTTCCATGTACAAACAGCGACCAGTTACGATTTTATTATATGTATTGATTGATCGATTCAGGATCGTGTGCTCGCCGCTGGTGCTGTTGGCGGATAAGATCTTGAAGCAGACGTACGACGGGCGGCTGAGCAACCAGCTGGCGACCGCGTGGCTGCACTGTGCCGCCGGCGCTGGTCGCAGCAGCCTGATCGCCTTGCTGCTCATGCTTATGTGCCAAGTGCGTGCTGGCCAGCTCGCCCTTGTCGGTCAGTATCACCTATAACTATGTGATATTATGTATGTATATTTGTATGACTGTAATGTATGGTCAGATGGTCTGTAAAGTAATATTTATATCGACTTTACTGACATATTAACTTCAAGGTTGCCCAACTAGTTTTTTTAAATTGTATGGTAACCCCGCCTGCGCTATCGGTATACACTGACGGGGCACCAGTAAGAGATGACAGATGAGGATAAAAGCATGTCATTTAGCCCATCCTGATGAATTTAACTAGAATTAAACACGATGGTTTCCAGGGGGAACCACGTGGAGGTCGACCTGATAGGGTATATTGCTAGTAATGAGGCTATTTGACCCCATTACTAACAATCCCTTTCCTTCCCTGTCCAACTAGTTACGGAATGGATAGTATCAGCTGTTAATTGACCACTGCTGTACATAGGTCTACCCTCATTGGGGGTTTTGCAAGTAGTTGGCAAGCAGGTTGGCTTTGGTGATGTTTTAAGAGGGACGCCGCCGCCTATCCCTCTACAATTAAGTTCTCTTAGTCGCCTCTTACAACTTGGTCAATGAATGTTTTGTCACCTCTCAAATTCAAAATTTATCTAAGAAGAATGAAATGAAGTTAAAATACATTTAATTGGCATCTAACTGGTGAATAAATGTATATTATTTGTTATCTATATTTCTGTATCTATACTAATATAATAAAGAGGGAAGATTTGATTTTCTTGTATGTTTGTTTTTAACGGGAAAGTTCAATAACTGTTTGACCAATTTAAAAAATTCTTTCACCTTAGAAAGAAATTTGGATTTTAGAAAACTATTAGCGAGTAACATAGGTTATATATTATTTAAAAAAAATCATCATCATCATCATTTCAGCCATTAGAAATAAAAAAAAAATTAAAGATCCCTACGAATATTATAATAATGTAATCAAAGGTATCAAACATTTGTTTATTTATAAAAGCTAATATAAAATATTACTTTATCTTTCCATCTATCTTTAATTATATGTTTTTTTCTTTTTCCAAAATAGACATGCTGGATACGGGGTGCATCAATTTATACAAACACAGGAGCAATGTATTGGAAGACACCAAGTACCTAGCGGACGCCTACAGAACAGCTCTGTTTTATGTACAAGGAGTGCTTTGTTCAGGTGAGTATAGATATAAAATTAGTACATTACTGCAGCGGCCAGCAACTGAGGCATTGATGGACGAACGTGCAAATGTGGGCCGAGGCGTAGCTGAGACACACGTACGTGAGTCCATTAATACCTAGTTGTGGCCAAGGCTTGTATAGTACTTTTCTCAAACAATGAGCGGAAATCAAAAACACAATTATACTTTTTAAGTTCAATGACGAATAATGAACAATAATATTTTTTCATGTTCCTTTGTTTTTTTTTCAATAAACAGCTTTCTATTTGTAAGCCAATTCGAAATTTAAATAAAACCTTTTATTAGTTACCTCCTTGGTAGCCATGTTTCGAAGTAAAAGGTTACTCCATTTTTAAATTACGGGACAGATATGAGTTTACATAGTAATTTATCTGGTCGCAAATATATATATATATATATATATAACTTTTGCCGGCCGCTGCCCGCTAATCTGGCCAGTACGGCAATTTTGATTTATCATCAATGTTCATATTTCCAACCATGTTTGAGAAATATATATTTTCGTTATTATTTCTTAGACACGCATCACAGATATGTATATTAGTTAGTATCTAAAAAATAATACAAACATAATTTATTATTTCTTAGTAGCGAACTCGAAAAATTATATAGTGAACCACTACTTGTCATGTCCATTTTTTTTTATAAAACTTTAGCAATCTCTAACGAAAACGTTGTAAAATTATCGGTTTAATTTACGTGTAATTATATCGAGAAAGCTCACATCACAACCGCTCACGATTAAGGATTCCAAATGGGCCCGTAACTAGTCGAGCTCTCACGACCTAATTAATTAAACATGAGTTAAACCGATAGTTATTACATTAAAATGTTTACTATTGTAATCTTTTGCAGGCTTAGCTGCTTAGATTTAGCTACATGGTTCCCGTAATAAGAATTTGTTTCCTTTCAACTGATCTCTTAAAATATAGTTCGTCTCCAGTATATATATCACTGATTTGAGGTAATTTTTTTTGAGGTAATTTAGGGTCTAATAAAAAGTAACATGTCTCAGGTACCGCAATGTTCAACGGCGAGGCTGTCTCCGTACCATCTGGTGCCTCGGTGCTGCCCCCGGTGACTCCCACGCCCACTGTAGCGACATCTAGCGGCCAAAAGCAGAAGTTCTCACGGGAATCGTTCGAGGAGATGAAGCAGTCGCCAGGACTGAAAAGCGGCGACATGAAGGATCCCCTCAACTTCCTCGATCCACTGTGGAGTTTGAAGAAAAAGTGAGAGTGATTTGGCTGTTGACTCCAAAGGCGACTTGACAGTGTTGTACATTAATCGATCATTTCGTACTTTCATTACAGTATATCCATCGTACCTGGTTTTTGTGGTCGTCAGTGAAAAAATTCTTTAGTGCATTTAATTTTAGTATATACTTAAAAAAAAAAACTATATCATATAATGTAATCGATTTTTAGATTATATTAAATTGTTTAGAGGACAATTTTTCAATACGCCTTAATATACATAAGAGAAAAGTATATAATTGAATTGTATGGTATTTAGAGATCTCAAATTATTTAGTACATTATTATTAATATATGTTATTATAATTATATAAAAAATATATATAATTTGTAGGTTAAAATTCACATATATATATGTACTTTGGTTTTCCATATTATTTAATACGCTTAGAAACAAAATTAGCAAAATACATGTCACAATATCAATTTAAATGATAAATAAATAAGGCATTTACGACGGCTGAATGTACATCTGTAAACAGAAAATAGTTTATAGGCTATGGTAACCACTTACCATCAGGTGGGCCGTATGCTTGTTTGCCATCTCAGTGGTATAAAAAAAAGAAAAAAAAATAAATTTTAGTCATTCACGTTGCATGGTTTATAAGAGGCGAAGAGAGAGAGAGAGAGAGTAATCTATGATATTTATATCGACGTTTCGATCAGGTTACATCGGGCGTGGTCACAGGTAGACTGATGCAGCGCTGTCATGTCTCCGCTTTACATTACAGAAAAAATCAAATATAATTTAAATAAAATTAAAAAATAGTTTATTTCATATTCATACGTATAATGGTCAACGCAAAAACCACAAGCTACTACACGTGATGTTTCTTGACATTCCATATTGCTGTTGAAGTTCGCATAGAATACAGATGTAATTTTTACGATAGTTTTACCCCTTAATATTTTTGTTTTTTACATTTCATAATTGTGATCAAAAATAAAAGAATACAAGAAATGAAAAGACAATAGTAAATAATAGCTTCTGAAAACACGGAGGTGATACTTTTTTTTTTACATAAAAATATGATCATTTTCACCAACAGTATAATTTACAAGCATCTTTATATATAAGAATCTACATTATAAATTATAAACTGGGCGTATTTTTAATTTTTAGATTCTTTTTTTTTTTTTTATATTTGATTGGTAATATTAACATTCAGTGTACATTTTTATTTAGTAATTACTTAAATTAAGGACAAAAATTTTACGATTTTTTTTATTATGAGCAAAAATAAAAAAAACAGGAAATTCAAAAGTTTATTCACTTGGTGAAATTATGTAGTATATTAGGTATATAAAAAAATGTTTACATATAAATGGTGTTTCTAAAATATATAAAGCGATATTCAATGTGTAATAGAAACTGTACAAGAAACAACGTGTACGTGACACCCCTAGTGTTGCAGGCGTCCAAAGGCTATAGTGACCGTTTACCATTAGACGGGCTGTATACAGGTTTGGTTTTGTATAAAAAAAAAAAAAACAAAAATCAAAACCCAGTAATAGTTTTTACGGAACTGAATAACTTACCGAGGAACTAAGTCGAAATAATGTTTAATATAATATAAAGAGTTGTGAAAACATTGTTATGTTTGTTACTGTGATGGACAGATTTGAATGAAATTTGATAAACAAATATCCCATACTTCATACATTCACACAGGCAAAGCCGTGGGGCATAACTATTATGAAAATTAAGTAATTTCTCGTGTGAAATAGACACTATTAACTTAACCGTGCGGTTAATATTGTCAACAGCCAAAAAATATTATCATATTTCGATACTTCTTTGTTTTTCGAAAATCATTTTAAGTTATTTAGTTTAATATCGTGTTAGTATAAAAAAAAAGGTTTGCTAGGTTTCGGTATCAACCTGCATATAATTAAAACGGTATTATTTGCATAATTGCAGCTATGAGCGCTTGTTACTTAGTGTGTAAGGTTCAAATTTGCGTACCTATAAATTGCCCCACTGACTGATTTGAGACTTGTTCCAATTTTAATCACGTCGTGAGATCTGTAGGAGCAGGATGCGATAGGTACATACAGCGATGTAACACCATGTGATCACGTGGTCATGTTTTACTCGCGGTATCTCACAATACTGTATATTAAAAACTAGCTATATCCCGTGGCTTTGCCGGCGTGAATAAATATATAAAGTATCTTATAGGCTAAGTCAGGATATAATTTACTTGTGTACTAAATTACATACAAATCCGTTTGTTTTGTGTGAAAGAGTAACAAACATACATACATCATAATCTTTTATATTTATAATATTAATATAATGTGTAGCGTGTATACAAAATTCTAACCTTTTGTAATATTATAAATCTGAAAGTGCGTCTGTATGTTGTCTCTTGGCCACTTAATGATTTAATCAATCACTATGAAGTTTGGTATACAGTTACTGTATAAAACGGAGAAAGAGAAAGAATGAGGATGAAATGGTAATCTCGCCTGCGCTATCGGTATACGCTGGTGAGGTATTAGTATAGCAGGTTTGTTGGCCCATCGTGACGTATTCATCAGTAATTAACCACCATGGATTCCAATGAGAACTGAGTGCAAGTCGACCTGTTAGATCCCATTATTAATATGACTTTTCTTCCAGGACTACGCTGTCTATATATCCTAGTTATGAGGACGAAGTCGCGGATAAAAGCTAGTGTGCCTATACATCTTGGCAATATGGTAGGATAGGAAGGAGTTTAAAAAGTTTAAAAAAAAATTCGTTGTATTATGACATCATAAATATCGAAATTCTACGGCGCCTTAAATAATTTTGTCATCCAAAGACTTAAATATTGTAGAAAAAATACGTTATGCAAATTAATTTTCATGCAAACCATACTTTGACATTTCGAGGTCATTGACCTTCCTATTCTTATTTGGTGTCGGCGTTGTTCTATATGTTTATGAGTTCCTGGTACATACATCAGAAATCATTGTATTATATTTAGATTACATTCCTATTAATTAACATATTTTCTTTATTCATTTTAATTAATATTGGGGCCGATTCTGAGGCGACATTTCTCTAAATCTATCGCTTTATATTTTATTTTGATTACTTCTTAAATATTACTGTTTTATGAACCACCAATAACTGGAAGTAATAATAATTGTTACTTAAATATATTAGAAACATAGTTCATATTGGTTCTTAGGATAATCATTAAATTGAAATTTCAATTTTAGAATAGGTTCAGAGAACGGTGCTTCATGGTACTTTAGAATCGACCCCCCCATTCTGTGATCCATTCCATTGTTTCTGTCTACTCCAATGGGAGATAGGCGTGATGTATATGTATGTGTGTATGTGATCACAAGTTTTATATGTTAATGGACACTGTCAAACTGACGCATCTATTGAAATGAACAAAATAAACTTATCATTATGAAAAGTATTATTATAATCTGACAAAATTTTAATTTAATCATATTTACGTATAGTTATAGATATTTTATTTAGTACCTACAAAATAAAATAAATACGACTGAAATTGTGTTGTTTTATTTCTAATCTTATCAGTATTAATATGTGAATTTTATACCAAATTAGTTACTTGACTCACGTTAGTAATCCTTCAAGATAATATGTGATAAATTTAGCGAGCGGATAATGGCGGATTTATTATAATAGTTCTCGATTGTTTATGTTATAACCAATCGAGAACTATTATAATAAATCCGGATATTGGAAATGTACAGGGGTAATATTTATATAACAAAACCCCTCTTTATGGAGGCAGCAGTGGACAGTTGACATAATATTAATTGTATAAGTAAGCGATGTAAAATATATATAGTCGGTAAATTATCTGTAGAGAATCTATTGTGAGTCTGAATTTTGTAAATCTGAAATTTGTAAAAGGCTGGAAGTTAAAGAGTCACTTTATATGAATCATATTGTGATTTATTTCACCATGCAGTCAGTTGAGTTTAAAAGGTACATCGAGGGCTTAGAATTCATTAGCTTTTTTACTAATATTATAAATATGAGTTTGCAAAGAAATTTGTTACTGGACTACGTTTAAACGGCTGACGGATTTGAATAAAATTTGGTACACAAGTAGGCTATGTTTTGATTTAACACATAGCAAAAACTAGTATAAAATGAATCATTTTATACATCAGTCAATATGCTTGTTATAGTCCTTTGTAATGGATGATATAATAGTTCCTCAGGTAGGAAACACTTCCGGGATAGGGTCTTCAGCGGAGGCTGTAGGGCTGCGTGGTCAGAGTGGCCGCGCGAGCAGACGACTATCTGTTAGTTGGGCTCGCGCCGTCACTGTGTTTACACGTGTTGAGAGCACGCCGCGTCGCCGCCGCGCACGCGCTCTCGCGATCGTAACAACGCAAACACCCTACAAAACATTCACGGGAAAAAAATATTTCCACGCCACCCACATTGTGAACGAAAATATACTGAGTGACAGTGACATTTCGGGGGGAGACGGTGACAGTGATACAACAAAATTACAGTAAAATTATGTTCAATTAAAGTTTTAACGTGATCGTGGGATAAAATTGCCAGTGCTGTGTGTGAGGAACCATATAAAATTGGTGTAACGATCGATCTGAGTTGCTGTGAAGTGTTGTGAACTGTTTTCTTGGAGACGATGGGTATGTCGCCAGCTGGTTAAGGGCGATGATGCGCAAAGAGAGCGCCGGTGCGACCGGCGGCACGGAGTATGCCCTCGATGCCGCCGATTGCATATCGCTGCAGCAGATTCTCCAGGCGTTCAACTCGACGATAAGCGAGGAGCACGCCTGGGCCCTGTTCTACCAAGCGGCCCGCTGCTTCCAGAAATGCTTGGCGGAAGGGTCCACCTGTTACTTGGCTACTGAGCCCAGACATGTGATAATACATAAAGACGGCAGCGTACATCCTAGCACGCTGCTACATCCAGGAGGTTGGTTGCTCATACTTATAATTTAATATATCTCATAATGTGTTATTTTCGTTATAGTTATTCCGCTTATTGTATGGTGCGGGTGACAGATTATTGAAATCATACGAAAAATATTAAGCAACAAAACTTATTTCAATAAATACATCGAAACAATTTGATTGTGCGGAAGTATACAAATCTAAGATTGGCTTTATCTCCTCTAAAATTTTCCAACAATATTTGTCTTATAGTTTTTTTTTTAGTAAAACTGTCAAAATATCTGTCATCCGCGTCATGCTATATCGCACAGAGTATAGGATATAAAAATCTATAAGAACTTTCTAAAGGGACGTGAACTATTTTACTTTATCTAATATTATCACAGCCGTATTTGTCAGATAATAAACCCATTATTCATTATATGCTCATTAATTTCACGAATTTCTTTTCTGACACACAATTTTCTGTTATAATAATCACATTATAGTTCTTATCTAGTATAAACTCACAGGACGGTCTACTTACGTCTAATACGAGTAAAATAAACACTCGGTCTAATTAAATTCCGGTCACAAACACAGTTTTAATAATGTTCTAAGTAAATCTCTTATTCATAAGAAGCAATGACCGTTACACTGTAAAATTCATTGTAAAAAATTGCTCTGATAATATCGATAAGTCGATATTTTGATTTAATTTAAATCTTCCAAAAATTATAATTATTGGAACATAATTTTCACATTATATTTACTAATGTATTATAAAGAGGAAACATTTGGTTGTTTGTTTACAATGTATAAACTCAAAAACTACTTACCCAATTTTGAAAATTCTTTCACCTATAGAAAGCTACATTATCAGCGAGTAATATAGACTATATATTATTTTTTAAAAAAAAAAAAAAAAAAAACTATCTAACCGTGCGAATCCGAGCCGGATTGCTAGTAATTTTATATCTGCCTGAAGATTTGTTAATAGATATTTTCCGTAGATAATTTGTGACCTTGTGATATTAAAAATTATCATTATGCTGTGTGGTAGGTATCACGATAATGTGTTTTAGAATTATCTGTGCCACGTATCTACATATTTATATTTACGTCACGGAAAACCTTTGATCAGATGGAGCCGAAAGAAATGCACTTAATCAAATGGTCGTAGATAGGTATTCCATTGTTTGTATATGGGTGGTCAAATTATTGGCTGTCTATTTACTTGACTTTTTAGTTTGTATCCGTATTATTTTCCGCGATTGTATTTTTCGCCTAACATTTTTTTCTTGTTTATGGATGAAAATGTAACTATTATGTTAATGATACGTACAATGGTGGGGCAACAGGACAGATTGAATATCTCTGTACATCCTAAAGGTTGACTGGTAGAAATGGCTATAGCATTAAGTCCGTTTTTTTGTACGACATTTTATTGCTCTATATAATATGGGTTAAATAAATAAATGAAACAATGAGGGTGGAGTCATGCCAAACGGTCCATTGTGGTAAATTCACTATGAATTAACCGCGTTTGGTTTACTGGTAATTTTTTATGAAACTAGAATGGCAAACAAGGTTCGCCTGATGGAAAGCTATAATCGTCGCTTACATGGTATATACATATATGAAGAGCACCTAGATGTCACAGAACAACTGTAATACCTATGTCACCTTTCAGACGCAGCCATTTCTGGAAATTTTTATTTTTTATACAACTTAGAATGGCAAACAAGCTGATGGCCCACCTGATGGAAAGTGGTAACCGTCGCCTACAGACATGAGCAGTACCATGGACATAACAGAGTATACTGTTTCGCCCATGATACCCGCCATGCGTTGCCATTCCTGAGGACTCAGATGTTATTCCTCTGTACCCTGTATATGCTTCTGTACTCTGTAATTTCATTGCCATAGCCCACATTTCAAATAAATAAATATATTTTATACATAATAACTTGGCATTCTATTGTTTCTGCCTACCCTAATGGGAGATGGGCGTGATAAATAGGTATAGGTATAGGTATTTCAGCTATGTATAAAATATAGTCACCACTTCTATTTTTATTTATATCATGCATCAAAGTTAGAAATACATGGAATTATCTAACATTGACTTCTGTTGTTATGGCCTTATAGGTCTAAGCTACTTCGCCTTATGTAACAGACGTATCCTATTATTCATAAAAACTAGAACCTTCTACAAACCTATTTTAACTATTACACTATTTTTTTAAATTAATTTATATTTATGTATTTATTCATTTAAGGCAAACACACAGCTAAAACAATACATAATTATACTTAAATAGTAATTTGGCAGTCACTAAAATTTGCACAAATAAAATACAAGTAAACGAAACACAAAATTGGACAATACCAAATTAAACAAATATAAACAAAATTAAACAAACAAATACCATTGAAACACAATAAACACACTACAGCAACATTGTCAATAATAATGCTCAGAAGTTAATAAAACATTTTTTCAGAAAAACACATTATTTGAGAATAATACCTGTATAACCATTAAAAAAAAAGTTAAATTTGATAATAATTTAGAATAAAAAAAAAAAGTTAAGAAAAATTAAGACTTCTGACTGTATATTAAATAAAAATATTTCTCATTATTGTCACTTTCTTTCAAATTAGAAATTAGTGCAAAAGAAAGAGACAAAACAGTTAATGGCTTAAATGGGTTTATGAGCGGTTTGAAGTTTTTATAAATAAGGGGGTTGAAATTATAATAAGTACATGTAGGGTAACAAATCGTTAGGACAGAAAAAATTGTTTATTCTTTGAAGGCAACTATTATTTTTTTACTGTCCAATTATAAACTGTCTACTGCATTTCAAAGCGTATTTCTCGAAGCGTCTAGGTTATATTATGCTGTACAAAAATAGTCATGTATTATTGAAGTAGGCATAGAATAAATAAATGTAATATCAAGGCTACTTTTCTAAATAAAAAACCCACACATCTTCGTTAAACGTTGTGTCATTGTCAAAAGCCTGCAGGTGATAATTTCGACTTTTCAATGTCGTTTCCGCTATTCTTGTTGTGTTGAGAAATAGGTATTTACTTCAGACAACTTTAATATTATATTTCATTTAACTTAAAAAAAAATTGTAATATGTGAGTTATTTCATATTTTGACTATATGTACTTGTACTTATTAAGTTATTCTATATTTTTGAGTTAATTTCGATGTGTTTTTTTTTTATACATAAAGTTAACCTGAGTTCTTTTGGGTACCGACACGAAAGGTTCCCGTGTGAGTTTCATATTAATTTTGTCAATATTAAAAAGTTTTTTTTTTGTGGTACAAAATCTTTGAAAAATATAAAATTTGTTGAATAATAACTATCGTGAATCATACTGTATTGTAATCTAAACTAATGTAATGAAGAGAAAAAAAAATTATTTATTGTATGTTTATTTTTTGTTATTTATCATAAATTGGCTTTATTTATGTATGCACATTAGCCTATTTAAAGATTATTTTCCATGAGGTTCCTGGCCTCTTAGAATAGGTGCATATATATTCTCAGACATGTCTGTCTATTCAAAGCTTACACTGAGGTAGGAGGCACTAAATAATTCCGGAGTGGGCACGTCCCATCTGGTCCCCCCTTTAAATACGCCCATGCTAATGTATTAAACTAATCGGGTATTTCCGAATTTCATATGCGAGTGAAGCGAATATAAATAATTAGTATGTATTCATTTATTCATAAAGGGTATGTTCGGGCATGTGGAAGAAATGTAGGATGAAAGGTTAACGGAACAGATATGATGCGAATATCCTCGTTTCGGTATCGATCCTATCCATTTACGTGCGCCGTCTTTATATACTACGCCACCCACTTTTCCATTAGGTGGGCCGTCAGTTTATCATAAAAAACCTTCATTTTCCTTTTTTAATAAATTGGTTAACGGTAACGCGCTCTCAGAATGATTCGGTATAAATTTTGACAAATAATTTACCGCTCCCAAAAATCTGTAAACTTTTCTTATCATTCGGTTCTGGCATCTCCTTTATGGCTTTTATTTTGTTATAGTCTGGTCGCATACCGTTCTTATCAAATACGTGCCCTAAATATACAACTTCTTTACACCCACTTTGCATTTATCTTTGTATATAATTTCGTGCTCGAACAACCAGCCTATCGAATAATATCATCGACTGGGTAACCGAAGGAACTTTGCGAAAGTACAAAGTACAATGCAATACAGCTGGAAGTGTGCGCGCTGTAATTGACTTGATGATACCTGAACAAGACAGGGCGTTGTGATACTTTCCGTGGCTTTATTCCATAAATTCTTTTTACTAATTTCATTAATTCACATGATTTTCGGCCCAGCAAAATCACCCACTTCATTGCATGTACCCCTGCGTCAACAACATCAATGTCCCAGCGATAATATTATAGGTATATCTTTCTTCAAGGAACACAGATCGAAATGTTTTTTTTTATACAACTAAAAATGACAAACAAGCTTTTTTTATATACACGTACTATTGGTGATGGAGAAGGAAAAAAGACCACAATCGATCCCAGTCAATAAACATATCCCAGTTACGTGGACAAAGTCTATTGGTAAAATAACTATCGCTTCAGTCACGATCTGGTGAAAGTTTGATACACGTCAGAACCCCTCGAATCTTTATTAGTAAACTGGCTTGTACTGCTGAGCCACATTGATAAACAGCAATTAACGCCTCCATGCATCGGCATCTTCAAATAATTTGGTCGCGCGTTATTATAACAAAATATCCACTCACGACTTTTTTTATGCTTTATTTTGTTATTTCTCTTTATTTAAATACTTATTTATAACTTTTATCAAATTTATACAGAGGGAGACTTTTAATGTAATGTCAAAACAACTGTTTTAATCATATTATTCAACTTTCAAACTTATACATGACAGCTACTTTTCTCCCACACATGTTCGTTAAACGTTGTGTCATTGTCGCCTGTTAATTTCGACTTTTCACCGCTATTCTTGTTGTGTTGAAAATAG